AGCTGATGTGTTGTGAGTTATAGTTTTAGAGACTGACATGACGAGCTGCTCACTGCTCAGCTCCACAAACGCTGTCCGTCATCGCTACGGCGTCGTAGCTACGGTGATGGAGAATGACGTGCGCTAGGGCGGCGCGATGTCACATGGTGATTATTTTCGCAGATATTGCGACGTTTGATTTCAATTGGAATGATTGTTTTTTCTATTTCACTTTCGATGATGATGTGATTTTTGTTTGAGGTTGTACCAAACAAACATGTTCCTTTACGTGCGGAGGATATGATTTGTAGATCGGCGGCGTCTCTGCAGCGCCACAACGCTTATGGCGTAACAAATTGTGGCTCCTGTGATTTGGATATTTCACTTATATTAAGATTTCAATTATATTTTGATTAATTGTGCAGCCCGAACACTGAATTACTGACGCACAGACTCATCACTCTGTGGGTTGGTTTTTTTAAACACAAAAAACACTCAGTCTGCTCACCAACTTTATAAACATCAAAACAGTGGAGCAGTGGTTCCCAACCTGTGGGCCACAAAGGTGTTAACAAGTGGGCCAACAAACCATTTGCAAAACAACACAATTTTAGTGAAAAGATCTTCTTATATTATAATTATATTATTGTTTTAAATCGAAATGATCTTAAAAAACACTGTGAAAAGCCAATGATAGGAACTTTTATGTTGTCCCTGGCCGGACCACATCCAACACCTGCTTTTAATTTATTTTATTTATCTTTTTTACGTCAGTCCGATTTTGCGCTAAAATTCATTCATGGGGAAACTTGGGAATCAAAATACATCTCTGGTTAGCAACAGGAAGAGTGAAAAGGAAAGAGTCAAGAGACAGATGGTGGATCGACAAGTGATCCATTCAATCCTGAACGTTCGCTCGTTATCATTCAAATTAAAAGCGCTCTGGGAAGACGTTATTTAGCCTCGTAATGTTGCGGGGTCCGATGTGGCTGCCATGAAGCGGGAAAGGTTGGGGGAACCACTCGCTAACTCACCTGATAAACATTAACTGGCCGAAGCTGATAAAATCTAGAAATGACGAGGAACTACTTAAAGCATGATTCTGACCGTGACGCAACTGGGCAAAGGTTCAAGTTAAAGAGTAAAAGGTGAGATTATTTTCATAGCCAGGTAAGAACATCAGTGACAGACAGACAGACAGACAGACAGACAGACAGGTTTGTCCAGGTGGAACAACGTCTCAAAAACAAGTTGAAAGTAAAATATAAACGTAAGAAGTAACACGTTCAAATTGTCACTTAAATAGAAATAGATAGAAAATCTGTAGAATGTAAACACTCCAGGGTGAAAGCTTCATCTTTTCGTGACAAGGAGGCGGAGCCGTCTAACGAGGTGGCTCAGTGGCCCCGCCCCCTACTCTCCACCCCCCCCGCCTCCTTGCTCTTCATCCCACCTGGAGAAGAGGCTTACCTGCGTCAGGTTCCCTCCACACAAAAGACCAAAAGGCCAAGGTAGCGGTTACATTATAATTTCAGTGGAGGGGGAGGCGGCTGAGGAGGAAGTCTGGACGGGAAACCAGAGAGCATGATGGGACAGGTGGGGTGTGGCGCGGCGGGGCAGAGGATTAAGGAGGTTGCGTGAGGTCGTGCTGCTCTTTATCTCAGCTGATCAGTGACTCAGGGCGTGTGACATACAAAATACAGAGAGCGCCGTTTCTGCACTTAACAAACTTATTCTGTATTTTTTAATTTAGTAACATGAACCTATGAATTACTTAATAAAACTCAGAATTTCATATATACTATTCATGTATCTCAAGATGCTAATTGGCCTTAAATGAAATACAAATCAACTTCTACAATGTAGTTTTGCCTTTTTAAAATAAGAAAATGAGTGAATTAATAATTCATACATGTTAACTAAAATCCATCATATAATTTTCAAATCATTTCAGCTGCGATTTCCATGAAAAAACACGTAATAAACACACGAGTCGCCTGATTTCTACATGAGAGAGGACGTCAGTTAATAGATTAATACACCTACTATACATATATCCGTCTGGTATCAGGTCAGGAAGCTTCTTAATGAGGAACAGTGAAAGGTCTGGACTCCTTTTCATCCTGAAGACGCGGTTTATATATCGGTATATTATCACTGTGATATCAAAGACGTCCACAGGTAAAGTGCTGAGGTTACACCTGGAGTGAAGTTGATTTAACGGCGTTAATCATATGAACCAGAAACATCATTGATCTGTGATAACATGTGTTAAAGTCATTTACTTCTATAATATTTACCTGTGGAAACTGCTGCGGGGTTAAAGGAATAGTTCAACAGGTCGAACACCTTCACTGGCCAGTTTGAACTCTGAATCTGTTTAGTGACGTCTGACTACCTTCTCTACACACCGTGAGCTTTTCTGTGTCTGGTTGTGTTGGTTTTTTCTTTCCCTCTCTGCTGTAGCGATCTTGATCTCAGCGACTTCACCTGATTAAATAAAGGTTACACTGAGCGTTAGATGAGAGGGTTGATATCAGTCTCATCATGTCCGTTAAATGCAAAGCTGCAGCCGGAAGCTTAAAGACCGGGAGCGAGGCTCGGGCCGATATTCAATAATATCAAATATCATGATGTTTCAGGCCGTATGTGATATTTTTCTTAAACTGTTAAACTGTTTAGTGGCAGAAGCATTTACACCTGAAACATAAAATACAATAATCTAATAATTGCCAACAGAATCAGTGACTTCTTTTCAAATCACTTCTTTTTTATATTTCTTGATGTGATGTTGTTTTTTTTATCCTCCTCCTATTGTTTTCATTGTGTCTTTATTGCTTTTATACAGCGTCTACTCTCTCTAATTGTCCTCATTTATACTGGAGTATATTGTATGTGTGTGTCTTCACTCTTAACTTTACCTTCATTCTGTCCTGCTTCTGTTTGGCCTTACTGTTGTTTTCATATTGCCTTTGAGCCGCTTGTAAACTCGGTTTTTAAAGGTGATATATGAATAAAATTATTATTATCACATAATTACATGTTACAAAAAAAACATCTGAAACATTAAATACGTATATACGTTTTACTAAAATCAATCTCATGTAGATGTTACTGTGGTTTCTGTACCTTTAATTGCTTTATCTTGTTAATGTGCATTTTCATTGTAAGGTATTATTGTTTATTGTTTTACACGTAGAGTTATTCAAATGATTTTCTTTGTTCTGCTTTGTTTCTCCTTTATTGATATAGTGTCAATATATACAGTATATATATATATATATAATATATAAAAGGTAGTATTATTTTTTTGTTGTTGTGTGTGGACCCCAGGAGGACTAGCGACCACTGTGTGGAAGCTAATGGAGATCCAAATAAAGAAATAAATACGATATATGATAATACTGTATATTGTGATATTTGGCCTGGACTATATCGAGATATTAAATTTTGGATATCCCCAAAGCGTAGTGGGAACAGGGTGAAACAGTTTGCCTGGCCCCGGCCTGAAAGTGCCTCTAAAACTTAGTAATCAACACAACATCTGTTTCATCTGTATAAAAAAAACAAATGGAAAGAAATAGTCCAGAATACAAACGGCAGACTTTCATTCGTACAGTTTTTTTGTTCGAGCTGCAGCATGTCGAGAAGAAAGGTTGAGGGTTTTTTGTTAGCTTCAGACAGAGCCAGGCTAGCTGTTTCCCCCTGTTTCTAGTCTTTGTGCTAAGCTAAGCTAACTGGCTGCTCTGCTTAGCTTCATATTTACAGAACAAACGTGAGAGCGGCAAATTAGCATCTCTCCCAGAACGTTTAAGGTTAATGAAAGTTTGTAGTTAATATGAAATAGAAAAAGATTAAAACATTAATTCCAGAAATTTGGCCTCTTGTATAAAAGTCAAATGTGTTCCATGTCCATCCACCACCCTGATGTAATAATCGCTAAGGATGCTGGGATACTGGACAGAGGGCAGGTGAAGCTGAGCATTAAAAATAATTAAGCAATCAAATAAAATAAAAATAGTTAAATTATCTGCGGAGAGCATCAATATTATTTGGTGTTTGGTCATGTTCAATAGGAATTTTCTTTTTTCTTTTATTGTAGCAGTCAAAAACATCTAATTACAGATTACTACTCCAAGTTAGAAGGACAAAATATTTTCTTTTTAAGTATTAATTTTCATTTTGGGTGAAAATCTCCTCCAAAGAGTTTGGATTAAAGCCCGAGAGGTTTGGAACAACTGATTTTAAAATATCTTTAATCCCAGCGGACGCTTTTAAAAAAGTGCCAGGATTCATATTAGAGATGGAAAATGTAAAACGTGCAAAAAATTAAAAACAAATCCAAAACACAGAGGAATTGTACTTTGTTAATATTGAGCTGTTAATCACTTTAGCAAATGAGGGGTCACCTTCTCTTTGTGAGATCTAATTCTGGAGACTGAACCTGTCTCTCCTTCACACCTCGAACGTGGCGACGTAAACGCCTCGTCACCTTGACACTTTAACTCCTGCTTCGTCGTCTCCTCCTCCCCCTCCTCCTCCTCCCGCTCGCCTTGACGCAGCCCCTGATCTTTGCCACGCCGCCATCGTTCATTAACCACTGAACACCCGAACGCCGCCGCCGCCGCCGCCGCCCACAAACCGACACCGCAGCAAAAACACATCTCCAAGGAAGAGTGCAATTAATTAGGCTTGTTGTGTGATCTTTGGCTCCGGAGCTGCAGATGGAATAAAAACCCTCTTTATATTTCACACATGTTTAACACCATGTGACGACAAACTTAAAAAGAAAAAAGAAAAAGGAAACAATATAACAAATAAACAACATGAAAAAACAACAACCAACAAGCACATGAATGAGTGCAAAGAGCGGCCGCTTTGCATTTCCAGGCTGCTTCCTTTTTTCTTGTTTTTTTCACCAGACACTTCCACCGTCTGAATGTGGATGGAAACACAAATATGGAAAGTGACTGTGACCGACGGGGTGAATAATAAAACGGCAGGCAGATCGACAGACTCACAGGGACTTCCACATATTTGGCAGCTGCTTTCACCTTTCAGAGGAGGAGGAGGAGGAGGAGGAGGAGGAGGAGGTGGAGGGGGGGAGGAGAAGGAGGAGAAGAAGAAGAAGAAGAAGAAGAAGAAGAAGAAGAAGAATGACACTGAAGTTCAGCTGGGAAGATCTGGTTTCCAGCAAATAACAGGTTTCCTGTGTGAGCGGTGAAAGCAACAGCTCGGTGCTCTCTCTGTTTCCAGGAACAAAAACATGGCTACTCACTGTGAAAGAGAGGATTGAAGAGAAGAATGTCCCTTCATCGTATCTGGAGAGCTTGGAGAGGACGCCGTCTAAAACACCGGCAAACTGCACACAGGAGGGGAGGGGGGGGGGCAATAAACATTTAACAACTTCATTTTCCCTTCAGGTGTAATTAAACTTTTCATCATGTAAAAATCTGAGTCATTTTAAATACAAGATAAAAAAATAAAAAATAAAAAAAAGATCCTAATATATAAAAAGAAATTTTTTGAAAAATGAGCCTAATAAATAAATAATAAATAAATAAATAAATAAACAAAAAGAAAAATTATGTCTAAAAACTATAAAACTATATAAAACTATATCTAATGTATAGAAATCAAATAAAAAAATAAATCCTACAAATGAAAAATAGGCTATATGGATAAGAATTAATATGAAAATTTAAGAAATAATATACAATGTGGACAAATCCATTGTGTTCCCAATAGTACAGCTTGACTAATGTTTTTTTAATAAAAAAAAGATAATAAAATATAAATTAAATAATAATAAAAGAAAAAAACAAAACGAAAAGTGACAAAATAAAAACTATATAAATATGTTAAATTCCCTCAAGAAAGAGAAAAAATAAATAGATCCAAAAAAATCCATAAAATTCATATAATAATTTAAAACAAATCTATATTAAAAATGTTAATCATATTTCCAATTAGAGTTCAATTTGCCTGCTACTTTAAATTTTATATTTAAAAACATAAAGGTAAATAAAAATGACAACAACAAAAAGATAAAGAGTGAGAGGATTTGACTGGAGGATAAAAAGAGATTTACCTTTGAGACGAGGGAAGAAATCATTTCTTTGAATGCCTCGTCAATCAGGACATCGATTTTGGAGTGGTACTGTTGCTGCAGAGGGGAGGGGGTGTGTTTGTGTGTGGATGGGGGAGACATTAGGGGGAAGGGGGAAGGGGGGGGGTAAAAAGCATTATTTCATTATTTTCATAAAACTGATGGGACACAAAGGCTTAAAAAAAATGACTCCTCGCCTCCCTGATACTGAACAACAGCATTGTCTGTGCTGTAAAAGACAGAAAGAAAAACCTACAACACTATGAACATCAAGTCCTCTCTCACACACACGCAAGCACGCACGCGCACACACACACACACACACACACACACACACACACACACACACACACACACACACACCCCTCCCCAACACGGCGAGGTGTGAAAACCTTCCCATCCGTGTAACGCCGCTGAGTTAAGCAGCTAATAGGACCATTATGCAGCTGAATGACATTCCCGTCTGCGCTGGAAAAGCGAAGGAATCTGAAGGATACTTTTTGTGCGTCTCCCCACAATTAGAGCAGCCTTGTATTTCTCTAAAGCACCGGTCCAGCTGCGAGGACCAAAGGCTCACACAAGATTCAATTAATCCGCCATTTCATGTCTCGTTTGGCACCCCCCCCCCCCCCCCACCTAAAAACATATTCATGGCACCTTTTCCCTTGAAGGAAGGAGAGCAGAAAAAAAAAAGGCTGGGGCTGAGCGCTGAATGGCAGCAGCAGCAGGGGAGTTCATCTCTTGGCGACAATGCCCTTTCACTGGCCGTCTAAAGAACACCCAAATTAAAAATTTCAATCAACAAAGAGCACAGATCGCTGACAAATTGCGGGTCCAGGGAGGTCACCGCTGCCGGCCCTAATTTTGTTTTTTTCTTCTTTCTTTTTCCCTCCACAAGTCGGCAAAATGGCAGCTCTCTTTCAGCGCCGAATCTTTCAGGCAAATCTTGAGAGGTTTTCTTTTTTTTCCCTCTTCTTACTTCAATTAACATCGCTGCTTTTTCCTTCTTCTCCCTTTTTTTTTTTTCTTTCTACAAAGACGCCCACAAAATAAAAAAAAAAAAAAGCAGAGAGAAGGAGATGAAGAAATTATTTGGTCTTTGCCATGTGCACAGCAAAACCTGAAAAGAACAATTACTGCTTTTAAAAACATTTATCTGGTCATTGAGCTGCAGCCACCGCGGCTACTTCAGCTCTCTGAGATGTTTTAGATTCTGAACCGGGTCACATTTTCAACACGACCCCCCCCCCCACACACACACACACACACACTCTCACACACACACTCTCACACACACCAGCAAAAAAATGAATTAGCATTTTCATTGATTTGAGTTGATCACATCAGTCAAAGCAGAGGAGTTGTGGACGAGCGGTGGAAGAATTTGTCAGCGAGGCGTCAGAAATGGTCGATCGCAAATTGTCCGCACCGTAGGTCTGGGTCAAGTTCACATTGACACCTCTTCAGACCGGCTGGTCAGGGGTCAGAGGTCAGGAGGCCTCATTCACAGCACCTACTGGAAAACTGAGCCGTAGACGTGGAGGATCACTGCGGCTGCTGAAATCAGGAAGTTTCTCACCATGTGTAGTTGTGCGTTTCATAATTGTGGCATCAGATAAACATGCGTACTATATATTTTTATCTTAGCAAGTTTACATCTTACACTACACCACACATGAAACACAACAGCTGCTCAAACCGCCAACAGCTGGATGAGCTCACCACTCATGACTCCACACGGAAGAAGCAAAGAAATTAAATTCTGATAAATCTAATGTCGATGACTTTAAAGGTTTGTGATGGTTGAGGTAACCTGACGAAGGCCTTCGCAGGAAGGGGAGGCACTTTCAAAATAAAATACTCAGGCAGGCAATTTTGATGAACCATGTCATGTGACGTAGAAGGAGGAGCCGCAGTCTGAGGAGCTATTGAAATCTAGTTATCCTGCCAGTAGACGATTCTTTCTGATCGTTGCACGTAAAAATCAACAGTCACCTCTCTGCAGCTGCCTGGACTTCCTCCCTCGTAGGAAGCCGATCGGTCCAAACAGCTAGGAGTTCAACAAGATGGATTCACGATTGTGAGAAATCCTGCTGCTTTGCAAAGTTACAAAGATCTGAGAACTGAACACTTCAGCGTGAGCGCTTTCTTCTGCAGAGGTTGAATTATTTTAACGTTGACAGACGCCTGATTGTGTTATTTTTTAAATGAGATGCAACAGCTTAAAGTTTTAATTTAAGCATGTGCAAGTGGCTCGTTGTGAGATATACTGTGTGTACATACATAAAAACACAGAGCACATGAATACAATACCAAGACCAAAAGATAAAGGACAATAAGTTAATAAAAACAAAACAGAAACAGTCGTTAGTCGACAATAAGTTCAAACAACATCGACTTTTTTCCTCCTAGAATTTAGGCGGGAGATTGAAGAGGAAATAAAAGAGTTCTTTATCATTTGAACTGTGATTATTGTCTTTTTTTTTTATTGTGTTTATGTTTCATGTTTTTATGCTGCAAAAAGAACTTCCTCAATCAAATATTCTGAAACAAAAAAAACAAAAAAAAGGAAACCATGGGGTTTTCACCTAATGCTGATGATATGATGCTTTACATTACTGGTGCTCAGTCCAGGTCCTGGATCGCCCCAGCTCTGCATGTTTTCCATTTTCTTTGCTTCACCTGCATCTAATGACCATGACCAGGTGTGTTCAGTTCATCAACAACTTCTCAGGTGTGAGCACAGTAAGGAAACTATGCAGAGCTCTGGCTCTCCAGAGGCCGCTGTAGCTCTGAAATGGACCTTAAAACGAAGGTATGTGTGTGATTCCTGACGGACCGCACCATGTGATTAATGGTGTCGGAGAAGATTTAAAAACACATCAGTCTTTTTCTGATGGAGTTCATGTGGAGAGGTGTGAGAGGAAAGTAAAGGCGATGAGGCGATGGAGGGACTTACCCATTGTTTGTCAATCTGGGATTCAAACAATGATGAGCAGGACACATGGACATGAGGGACGGGCGGGGAGGGGGGGGGCATGAGACAAAGAAAAAAGAAGGCAAACATAGTCAGATAATCAGTTTAAAATAAAACAAAACGTTGAAAAGCATTTCTTCAACCTAAACACGTATGTTTTTCCACAAATGAAACGTGGTCGTGAAATCTCTCCGACAGCCGGTTCACTGACGCTTCCAGTTGTCCTGTTGTCGTTACAACTTTTTATTTACATTTCCATCACAGCTTTGACCTTGAATCAGTTATTTCACCATGTTCTCCAACACCAGACGCACATTTCATTGCGACACCGATGAAGAGAGTGATTGTCAGAGGATTTTTTTGAGTCCAGTGAAATCCGGCATTATCACACATCTCCCGGTCTTTGTGGCTCCTGATACGTCTCCACACTGTGGGCTGTAAAAATCAAACATGTAAAAAACCAGCACAAAGCGGATGAGTTGTAAAAAGCTTTTTCCTCCCCAGAAAACTCCACAGAACAATTCAGGCTTCAATCAGAGACTCCGAGCATTTAATCATCAAGGTCGCTCAGACGCAGCGTTTGGGGCTGAATGAAGTTCAGCCTGACAAACTGAATGATTGTCGGACTTCATGAAATCAGTTTGCGCTTCTTAAGTGGACGCACACAAAATGCTCAGATTTTATTTTATCTTATTTTATTTGTTGCCATCTCCATTGAAGACGTTTAATACATTATCATCTCATAGACTCCTTATGATGATTCTGCTGGAGGCAGAAAGAAACGAGCGGAGACGATTTCTTCTTCTTCTTCTTCTTCTTCTTCCAGAGAGAAGATTTTTCACTTTGCCATTATTTTCTTTTCACGACACATTTGGCTCTCTGCGGCCATGACCTTGGTGGGGTTGCGTAAATATCTGATTAGTGCTGCGGCCGAGGGGAGCGCCGAGGGGAGCGCCGAGGGGAACCCAACAAAACACGAGCAAATTAAGAAAACGTCTCCGCCGGTTTGACAACACGTGCGCTGCAAATACACACAACACAGCCAAGTGTGTTGTTCGAAGCTTTGTGACTTTCGCAGCTGTTGAAGGCGATTACGATATAAATAAACTTTATTACCATTACTCGTCAGTGGCGTTGGAAATCAAGCTGTTAATGAGCTGCAGTCAGAGTCAAGACGTAAAGGCCCATTTCTGAAAACATGAACCTGCTCTTCAGCTGCATTAACACCAGATACAGACTCTGAACTTGTCTTGTATTGTGCTAAACATGTAAATTCACCTCACTGTTGACACTGTACACGCACTCTTATTTCTTGTGGCGAGTTTTTCATCACATTCATTGTTTTTTTCATTTATTCTTTACTCATCAGCTGATTTGTCTCCATTTTATTACTAAGTGAAGATATGGGGGCATGTGGGGCGACACTTAATTTCTCACAGAGAAACTTTTAAGTACATATGATGAACTTCTAAATTATTCTATATATATATATATATATATATTATTATTATTTAAAGCTCCATCCAGCCTAAAGGTCTGTGTCCATGTGTAGTGTGATTATAGATCAGCTCTAGGTTCTATATTAATACTGTGAAAGTATCAAAGCCTCAGTCCACAGAGAAATGCACACAGCCTGTATTCAGAAACTGAGCCTTAAAACCAGCCGTCAGGACTTCTGGAACTTTGTGATGTCACAACGAAGCAGTCACCAAGCCCCGCCCACCTGGACCCACCATCCAAACCTTGCAGGATTTGGTTTCTCCGAGTGATGACCACAAACATATCTTCAACACTTGAAATAAAACACAGAAGAAGAGGAAGATGTGCAGCTACCTATGATGGTATTAACACATGACCACCTACACATCGTGGCTTTAATGTGGAAATAAATTCCTGTTGCTTGTTATCATAAACTGAGATGTGTAAAATATGGGACCTTTAATTTTACTATAAAAGATGAAAATACCCAACAGCATATAAATGAGTTCACATTACAACAATAAAATGTTAATAAACTATAACAAAAATTTGATAAATAACAATTTCAGCACTATCCTTTATAAAATTACATTTTAATTAGACGGGGCAGCATTTTTATTAATTTTATGGAAAACCGTTGTGTACTTTTGTCACATGATGAAAGTATGAAATGAGAATATTAAATTACAGCAGCAGAACCCGTTAGTATGTGGAAGCTGTGTGTTGATATAATAGTGTGTCTCTGTGCAGGCATTTATTCAGCGTGTGTCGGCAGGAATAAATGGACAGATGGTGTTTTCGAGCGGCGGCGGCTTGTGGAAGCTGGAGAAGAGAGGAAGCTGAAGGTTAAGAGAACAGCGAGCTTAGCTCTCTGTCAAGACTGCCAGCGGCCAAGGGTTTCGCTCTCAGCGACGCCAAGGCTGCCGCCTCACACAGGCTTCACGGTCATCCATTTAACAGCTCGTGTCGAGCGTTTGGCCGTTTCAAGTGAACACAAATACACCTCAACTCCCCGTCTGCTGGATGTTTGGAGGGAAACAGTCACGTTTTAGTGGCTGATCTGACAGTCTGACTCGACCTGTTCAGTGTGAAGGCTGAAAATAAAAGATGGCTGAGGATTTTTAGAGGCTGACAGACTTTCACTCTGTCAGGAACAAGCCTCTGATGGTGAGCTGTGAGATGTAAACTGAAAAACACAAACATCCATCCATCTTAAGTGATTTCGTCTGACTTTCAGCCAAGAATCGTTTTTCTACAAACACGAAAAAATATTCTGCCAACGTGGAGACGATTCCTCTTGTTCCAAGTTTCTTCTCTTGTTTCTCTTTTTTCCAGGAATTATAAATTATATCAGAAAAAATTAGTTCATTTCAATGGAATAAACAACGAGTGGAGTCGTGGAGTAAATCTGTGCGGAGCCTTTTGTTCTTTTAGTTCAGATTGGATGAACCTGGACATGACAAGTGGAAGAGTCCTCAGAATCCTGATCATTTGCACAATGTTTTCATCCTATCTGCAAAAACTAAAACACGTCTGACTGTTGTGAGCGGATGAAGACCTCAGAGTCAGATCAGACGAGGGACACCCACGTCTGTTTCGAACATTAAAGACCACGGCTGCGGTGGAAAAGTCAAAAACATCTCCTTCCTTCGCCACTTTACCTCGACCTCCACGGAAAACACCACGAGGTCAAAAGGAAAGATGTGAAGGAGAATTCATAAGGAGAGTCCGACTGCACTTAAACCGACTTTATTTATAACACAGGAGATAAACACAGCGATCAATTTGGGTTTCCTGTCCTGTCAATCACTCAGAGGACGCAGCAGCTAAACTGATAAAACGTGAAAGGAATCCACAAGTAGAGAAAGTTGAGCCAATAAAATAATAATCAAATAAAATAAGGAAGTGAACATAAATTATATTCAGACATAAATATACAGATTCCTGACGCGTTTCACCTTTTCATACATGTGTTAATCAGAGAAAATGTATATTTAGTGCAGATTTAGTGAAAGTATATTGTGTTTTGTAATGAATTAGAGATTCAATATCCTTGTTCTTCCAGGTGACTCCCAACAAAGAGAAGTTTTCTATATTTATGGATTTCGAGTTTAGAAAATCAAAGTTTTGCATTGTGTCACAAATACACAACAGGTGCTCTGCTGTTTCTACAGTTACGTGGGTCTGCTGTGGCGTTGCTGCCGCAGGGAATTATGGGACAGCTTCATCTCCTGGTCCAGTTTTAGGACCGGATTAGACGTTTCACCTTCCAGTTGGAAGATACTGACAATAAATCAAACCCTGTGATCAGTCATGTGACCGTTGGCTCACCTCCTGCCCCGTGTCCAGCACGCAGAGTTTGGAGCACTGCTTCTTGGCGTCCATCAGCACGTTGAACATGGTGCAGACCGACAGCGGCACCCGGAAGTCCGTCGACTTACTCGCTTTCTGCATTTTGGCGTCGAATGCAGATTTTGTTCTGTGGCACGAAACAAAGAGAGGTTTTTGTGACTGACTGATGATTGATGAGCAAAGTTTCTATAATTCCTGTGAAACTGTGACAACATTTTTTTTTAACAAAATCATGAGAACTCAGAGATAATGAGAAAATAAAAAGTTAGTTTCCAGGTGACTTTGTTGAGCTTTGAGATTTTCAGGTTTTAAACCACTTCAGATTTGTGTTTCAAGTTTTTTGGAATCATAGCTCCGGAGCTAATTACTGCAGGGACAGTAATTACCGTTAATTAAACAAAGGAATTCATGAATTTTCGGTATGAGGTACAAAAATGAAGAGCGAGCATGAAAGGTCTGAGACAGGTGTGACCTCTTGACGCAGGCCTCCATCATGTCGCTGGCCATCAGTTTGAGTCTCTGCTCCAGATGTTTGGCGAACTCGGGCTCCGGCCAGTGGAGGTCCAGCACGAACATCTGCAGAGCATCCAGCTTCCAGAACAGATCCTCGGAGGTGGCCGAGCCGTTACTGCGGGGAGGATGGAGGAGGTTATTAACTGAGTTCAACAAATACAACATGAACACACACACACACACACACACACACACACACACACACACACACACACACACACACACACACACACACACACACACTTTTAACACAGACCTGATAACTAATCTCCTGTGATGCTCATTTGTTCACCATGCTCTTATTTTGGCAGCTGTTTACTGAGTCTTGTAATTCACTGCTGATAATTTTCCAGATTTATTTCCTTCCAACTCCAAGTGTTGCAGAGCGACGTTGATGATTACAAACAGAGCATTTTGAGTCTTTTATTTTGAAGGAACACCTTACTTCCTCTCCTCTCTTCCTTGTATCATCAACTTCTGTTTGTCACAGTTTATTTTCTGCAGTAATCCAAAAGCCTTATACCGAGTGAACCAGGGTGAGGCTAACAGCTAACAGCTAGCTTTAATTTATGTGTCAATGAGTTTTCATGATGTTATTGTTGTATTATTGTATTGTTATTATTATATCTTACAGTCTCAGTAAATTGCCGATGGACAGTCCCAGGACGTGTGGCCCTGGTCAGAGCGATGAGAACAATCTGATGTCTAAGTCATGTGATCTGTGGACGGTTGTGCAGCTGTGAGAAGGGACTGTTTTATAAAACAGACTGTGTTGGTGCGTTCAAGAACACTCCAACACCTGAGCCTCTGCAGCCCGCTGGTGAAAAGAGTAATTTGGAATTACTTTATTATTACAGGCAAGTCTGTAATTTTGTAATTTTCAGCTCATTTCCTCAGATGTTTTATTTGGTACAACTGTGTCTTCTATTATTATGAGACCCATGAAACGTACAACGAGGCTCATAAATTAAAACTTTCCAGCAGCTGGATCTCAAATCCAGGACGTCAGTCACTGAATGCACACGTTGTGGGCCGCGATAAATCATCTGTCTGCAGCAAGTATCCAGAAAAAGAATTGGCTGATAAATGAAAAAATGATCCTGAGACTGGCAGAATATTTCTTCTTTGTGTTTAATGTGCAGAAACATGCAGGTTCACCGATGTGCTCCTGTCCTCGTTGGTGAGACGCTCGGTCCTGATAAAGACTCATAGGGGACGCAGCTCAGGTCCTGGTGCGGTTCTTCTACAGGTTTTGTAAGTTTCGGCTGAGTGGTTTCAGTCAGTGAACACAGCGCCAGGCTGAGACAGACAGATGGACGTCTCCCCGCCTTCTCCCCTGCGCACAGGTTACACTGCAACACATGGCAACGCTTGCCGCCACCGACATCCAAGTGTACAGCGCCTGGCTAGAATGACAGCCACGGGAGGACGGAGGAGGGAGACGGGTGGGGAGGAAGGAGGGGGTTAAAACAAGCGCCACTCACTCCCTCACTTTTCTCACTACGCCTTTAAAAGACTGTTACCTTAACAAGTGGCGCACAGGAATAAACGCTTTGGGCTGCGTCCGCAGTGCAATTAGACGCTCGGTGGCAATCCCCCTCATGTCTAATTAGTGGTGCTCTTCTCTGAGCGCGCTCTGCCCCGCTCCCCGGGGAACGGGACGATCCCACTCGCCCGTCTGTGCTCGCTAATGAAGTGCCAGCTTTTCTCTCTCTCTCTCTCTCTTTTTTCATCGGAGCGAGGAGGGCCAAGTGAAGTGAGGTAGAGGAACAGTGTGGTCCGCGTTGTGGGAAAGGCTGGGGGAGTCGGAATGAGGAGCCTTTTTAAGAAACACACCCTCAATCAGCCTCCTGAGCCCCCCCCCCCCCCCCCCCCCAACATGGCCACCAGCTCATGGCTCAGTGTGTCCGTCAAAAAGATGTTCAGATTATGATCAGAGAAAACAAATCCTCACGAGTGTGTTCAGAACTTTTGCTTGAAAACTGCACAAACTATTTTACATTTCTTACTATGAATATTTCCCGCCTCAGCTGCCGTTTGCTTTCGAAGGAACAATTATATTTCAATGGAACTGCTCCGGTCGCTGGATTGGTTCATGGCAATAAAGCAAAGACACTAAACTTTGATGTCGAGTTGAAGTTCAGCGGCTGTCTTCACCATGTTGAGAGCGGGAGAGCAATCACAGCTCATGAGCTAATATGTTTTGAGTAAACTTGTATCTCCCGTTAGCGACCGAGCTAAAGAGCTACCACTTTTAATATTAATATTAATATTTTAATGGATAATTTAACAACAAAAAATAGAAAGAAAACTGGACATTTGGCTAAATAATTGTTTTAGTATCATTGTGAAATACTGGCATTACTTTCTTTTACTGATCTCAGGACAGTCAGTCAGCACCCTCATTATTTCCTGTCAACACAACTGCAGCAGTTCGTGACTTAGTGAAATCCAAATGTTGCTGATGAGAGTTATGGAGGAAGACGTGATGCCTCGTTTTAACGTTTTTAACATTTTAAATTTTGACTTGGTGATTTCCTGCGAGTGAGTCTGAGCTCCTCAGGTCGTTGACCTTTGGGGCTTCAAGGCTTCAACATCCGGTGAAAAAGATCTTCTGCTTTAAACTAATTTTTACAGACTTTTAAGATTTTACTTTTCTCCCGCTTTGTGCTTGTTTGGAGAAAACAGGTTCTATGATACAAAGGGAATGTAGGTGGAGAGATGCTCCTCATGTTTTGTGGGTGAAAATACTTTTTAACACCTTTTATTAGATATTTTTTTCTGCACCCTGGGATTCTGATATTCACTCACACAAAGGCTGCTGTGATCTGTTGGTTTGACGTTTGGAAAGATTAAATCAAGAGATGTTTAAAATCACAGTTTGATCAGCTCTTAAACATCATGAGTGTAAACGTTGTGACCACAATGACAAACATCGAGCTGACCTGACATACCAACACTCCACCACTCTGCTTTTGTTCCTGGCTCCAACATTAAAATCAACACCACATATTAGAATATGGAGCTGAACATCTGACAGCCTGCTTGTTGATTTTCATTAGTATTTTGTCGTGTTTTGATGCTGCAGGACACTTTCGCTTTTCTCACATGTGACAACAGAACATCTCTCAACTTACAAGATATCAGGTAGATTTATTCCGTGCAAGCTGCAACACAAAAATTGAGGCGACGTGTTATTATTGCACTGATACTCTCGACATCAAGACACACACACACACACACACACACGGCACAAGGAATCGTGACACACGGCGTCTTCATCGACGGAGTCTCTGAGGAGCGATCGCATGCAGGCGGCGCCCCGCTGACAAAAGAGCCACAGTGTCACAGAAACAATTTGAAAACCACAAACCTCCCTCGCATGTGAAGCCCGGCTCATTCAGCACAGGAATAATGCTGCAAGCTCTTCAGCTCGCTCAGAGACCAGGACTGAGAGTTTTTGTGGATTTTTCAATAAATTACTTTCACGATAAAACTTGAGCGGGGCTTCATGCAGGGGAGTGGAGGAGAATAAAAAAGCGGAAAGAATCAGTGGAGAAATTTCTTGATACAAAAATTCAGTGTAGAGATGTGGACAGACAGATGAACAGACACAGAGCTGCGACGCCACAGGTGAGCAGGACTGAGACGAGACGGTCCAGGCCAGAGGTCTTCACCCCCTGGAAACCAGAGCTGAACTGGTCCAGCTCTCCTGTCCACACTTTAACTCTCACTTAGGTCTGAGACCACAAATGCTGATTTCAACTCGGCTGTCCCATTTCAAAGACTCCTCCAAATGCATCCCCGTTTTCCTGGGCCACAGGGGCTCCACTGGGCGGATCCTTCGTGGCCCAACCTATCCCAAGATTCACTGCGCACCAGTTTTAAATGTCAGTATCGTGTTTCAGGTCAACAGCTGACGGTACAACTGTTAAAACCGAGGGCCTTAAAACCTCTAACAATATAAACCAGGACAGTTTGTCTCTAATCCATTAGAACATAATCAAAGACTCATTGAAGAAATTGATTGGTTTCCTTCGTTACTGTTCACATGTGACCCAAGTGACACACATGGTATGTTAAATAGCTCAGAGGTCTGTCAATCAAGCAAACTTCCGGTCAGAACTTTTCAGAATAAAGGCTGAACTGCTGTCAGGCTTTTATTTTGTAGGCAAAATCGCTACGGAGGAAGTGATTCTGTGGGTAACTGTTGCTGCCATGATGGAGAATTGTTCTGGGTCTTTTTTCTTGTGGATGGGTCACATTGTGGATTCAGGTAAAAAAAAAAGTTTTTCATACCTGTTTTACTACAAACTATCAGACCGTGTGAAGACCTCTTCGTCCAGGTCTGTCCACCGCCCCCTCCCCCCACCCGCCCCCCCCGCCCCCCTCCCCCCGTACATACGTGTTCTCACACAGAGGTCCCATCCAGGCAGGTGCCGAGAAACTGGGCATCTGCGGCAGCGTGAGGGGAAGGCTGGGGACTTTGGGAAGAGGAACGCTCGCTAGATTGTTAGTCAGTGACCTGACGGCGGCGAGGTCGATCGACGGCAGAGAGGGAAAATAATAAAGGAAGAAAAGAGAAAGAGAGAGAGAAGAAATAGTGACAGTAACAGTCAGCGTTCTTCGCCACGGCACACACACAGAAGAATGGTAATATATAATAGTAGCCACTTGTTCTGCCTGCAGTAATTCATGAATAGAAAACACCAATAAAAGACAGAAAAGTCACTGCTCACTTCTATTTTTTCTATTTTCTTTCAGTTCAGGTGCTTTTTATGAGAGAGCGTGGTTCAGCGCATTGTTCCTGACTGTGTGTCCTTGCCGTTTGTATTGTACATTCAGTTCTGCCTCCTTTTGTTCCCCTGCTGTCCTGTGCAGCGCTGCATTTGTTCAGTCCCCCTCGCGTTTTATTGTCCCCGTTACATTCATGCAGCAGCCAGTATCACACCTCCACAAATCATCACTGCTGAGAGTAAACTGAAGGTAAAAAACGACAATAGGAGACGGTTTCTACAAGAAAGGATCCACTGAAACGGACGGAGTTCATGAACCTGGGCCTCATACGACTTCTCCAGAGAGCGAGTCATTTTGATTTAATGAGTATGAATTCGACCAACATCATCTTTAATGTGTCTAAAAGAGACGTGAGACGTTCTGTACCGAAAGGATAAACTGATGTCCACATCCCTTCACACATGTCACGGTGAGAAACTGGATGTGAATGTGAGCTTGTCATATGTCACTGCAATGCTTTTTTGATAAATAAAATATTACATACGGCGGGAAATATCGCAATATTTGATGTTATTGAACATCAGCCCCGAGCCTAGTGACTCTGTTAGATTCAGTCTGGATTGGCACATCCCAGCTACCGTACCTTGACTATTACATCTACAGTGTAAGTGTGACATGTCTGGTTCGTGCTGCGGGTGATGCTGAATGACAGAGCTCTGCAGTGTGGTCCGTGTGTGTCGCACTTAATAAAATGTTTTTGCAGTCTGTGTTTAATCGGTAGCTACGTAGCAACATACACACCAAGTGCAGGAGTCATGTGTGTGTCGAAAGGTCAGGCTCTTAAAATTAACTCACTATTTCTGGGATTTTGCTCCAATTAAGCTTCATGAACTGCTGTCACATCTTCTCAGGATAAGTGCAAAGTTTTTAATCAAGTTAAAATGTTTTGAAGTCATGTTTGTCATAATGTATCTAGGGGAGATTTGTGTCCACTTGCGTCTGTGTATTGACTTTATTCACTGTTGAACTGCTTCTGAAACTCACCGCGCAGTCGGCCTGAGCACAACTGGAACTGCAGATGGAATATATTTTACACTATTTTGTACAAAACATGCCGGATGTGTTGAAACAACTCCACTCAAAAATTAAATCATTATTTCACATCTGTAACGCTCATGGTGAAATGATGAGAACAACATCGTCCAGAAAAAGACATGAACGGAGGAGAACAGGAACAGATTCTCTCAAACTGAGTGGAGGACGATTTAAAAAAGATTTAAATGACTGTTTTTCGATGTGAAGCAGATGCTGATAACACACAGAAACACAGTTAAAACTAAGGTTATATGAAACCTAGATGTCTAAATGATGTAAAACCTGTGTGGTTCATTCTTTCTCCACCGTACGGATTCTTAAGTCCTCCACGGTCGAAACCAGCGTCTGAAGCTAAGACTGACGGACGAGCGACAGGTGGGCGGGGTCTTACTTGACGGACTGCCAGGTCTCCTGCTCGAAGCCGCGGTGGATGGACTGGGCGATGGACGACTCCATCAGGTCGATGTAGCGCACCACCAGGGGCACGAACAGGTCCTGCAGGTGTTTGTGGAACGTCCCGTTACACAGGTGAGCTGTGGGAGGAGGAGGGGGCGGGGCCAAAAGAAGATCAGGTGAGAACGTTTAATCACTTTTCAGACCATTTCCATGGAAACTAAAAAAAGACAACAACAAAAAAAAAAAACCTACTTTGAACAACCACGTCTCCTTTATGTTCGATCTATTTGTACAATATACTTACAATTTGTTTTCTACAATATTCACTTAGCAGCAGGAAAAAGATTCAGCTTCTTACAGTTCTGTTACAGATAAACATTGTGGTCATTTCTGCACAAAACAATTAATCAATTATGATCAAAGCTGCTGTTTATTTCTCTGTCACTCGACTAATGAAGTTGTTTGATTAATCAACTAATTGTTTCAGCTCTAAAATGGATGTTTTGATTGACAGAGTCCACTGGTGTCTACTTTAACAGCTGGGACTCCAATATATATATATATATATATTATGGCCAAAAGTATATGGACACCCATGTCCAGTGAAGGGATCTCTTTATTTGGCATTTTTTTGGGAATACATTTATTAATTTGATGACCGAATCAATACTGCATATATGCAGCTAGAGCCAGCAGCCAGCTAGCTTAGGTTAGCTTAGCACCTAGACTGGAAACAAGGGTGCAGTGACTTCCTAAAGCCTAAATGAGCTTTAGAGGTGCTGGGAGCTGGATTTAGTTTCCTTTGGACAGAACTGGGTCAGGATGAAGGTGTTGATCTTCTCAGAGAGAAAGTCGATGAGTGAATTTACCAAAAATGCTGAACTATGACTTCGTTATTTGTTAGTGATACTTTAGATAACAGTGTTCCTCCGGCTTTGTGGCGACAAACAGTTTGTATCCTTCCTTTTCCTGTTGCAACAGAACAACGCCCCCGTGCCACAGATACTTTCCCCAGTTTGCTGTGGAAGAACCAGACTGTCCAAAAGAAAATCTGACATTCACCCGAACCTGAACGTTATAAGACGTACAAAGGTAGAACTCGTACCGTGGCAGCGTTGCTCCCCTGCACAGGTGTTGAGGATATTTTTGTGTGCACCCCCCCCCCCCCCCCCCCCCCCCCCCCCCCCCCCATCACCCCGGGCCCTCCTTGTGGGTTTGAGGCAGACTGTCAAACAGACAGATGAATCCTCAGCGACAGTAGCAGTCCACAGCGAGGAGAGTGCTGGGTGAGAAAGCGAGCAGGCTGGTCTCTCAGGACTTCATTAGTTTTAATTCCTCTCGCTCTGCTCCGTCATGATTAACACTAGCCTTTTTGCCCTCCGGAGAGTAAAAAAAAACCCACCTCCCTCGCAACCGCTCGCCTTCACACGCTGACAATGAAGTGAGCATTTAAGTAATCTACAGAACAACTGAGAGATAATACACTTGTTGAAGAGATTCCTCAAAGAGTGAAGAGTGTGTGAAATTCAGTTCTGAGTCCTGACATCGGCCGATACGCAGTCACAGCAGAGGCCTCAAAAAATAATAATACTGTGAACAAATAGAAAAGTCAAGGTTTGTTCTCTTGTTGTGAGGTTCAGTAAATCAACTCCATCATTTTTTGTTTTTTGTTTTTTTGTTTTCACTTTGTCACCCAAGTACGAGACTGGGTTTAAATCTCTCTCCTCTCACGTTAGACGTAATTATCGAAGAGGGAAGACCTCATTTGTGCAAATAGTCAAAACTATGATTTAGCTTGTTCCGTGTTTTGTCTCCGTCTACTGCCTCATTACACTCCAATTCAAGTCGGCTAATGTTGTGACACTTGGAATAATTACGGCATTAACAGAGGATGGTAATTAGAAAAAATATAAAAGATATGAGCCACAAAATCAAAAAAAAAAAAGAAGACATTTGCGGGTTCCTCACATAATGAAACAAGTTTTTTTTTGTTCTCAACAGTGCCCTTGGGCTGTCTGTCTATCTGCCTGCCTGTCTGTTACTGTATTGGAGGTACTTTGGCATCAGCCATGTTAAATAACGCCTCGCATCTCGCCAACTCTCTGCTGGCTCTGAGACAAAGCCTCGGCGCCGACAGAGGGCTCGGAGAGAGGAAACAATGAGCCGAGATTTTTCTTTTCCAGCAGTCGAACGAAACCTCAACAGTGAGACCTTTTTTTTTTTTTCAAGGGAAGAAAAATACGACAATAATCTGAAATACAGCAGTTCAATGTTGATGTCTGTTATACTTTAATTTAAACTTGCCACTGTTGTTTTTTTTTTAGGTTTATGTTTCTTTTTCACAGTTTGGACCTTGAGACGCAGAAAAGCACATTAGAGAAATAAGTAGGAATAAAAAATAAACTATGTCTTTATTCCTGAAATCATGTTTTGTTGATATGTGAATGTAGTTTACTATTCATAAGTTCAGAAAACAAGAACAATAATTGAGTGGAATTGTAAAAGGATTAACAGCAGTGGCCAGAGCACAGCAAGCCAACTAGCTTGTTTATCATCAGTCTATCATAACACGGTGAGAAGCTGGATGTGAATGTCAGCTTGTCATATGTCATATAGAATATTACATACGGCGGGAAATATCCCAATATTTGATGTTATCGAACATCAGCCCGAGCCTAGTGACTCTGTTAGATTCACTCTGGATTGTAGTACAAAGGAAAAGAAATGAGAACCAGGAAATAGAAAGTATCAAAGAGTCAGACTTGAAAAAGTTTGTGAGTAAAATTGGTCAAACTGCAGCTCAACAATCTCAAAAGTGAAGATAAATGTGACTGAAGCTGCAGAAAAACAATAAAAGTTTGTCAAACTTCGGCAGAAAAACTGAAAACTGTATTTTAGTTTATTTTATTTTATCTTTCAATCTTCACCCGGAGAGTTTAGTTTCCTGACCACTGACCGAAGGAATACGAGGCGAGTGAAGACGCTGGTGTGGTGACTGGATGATGTTGTGCTAACCTGTTGACAGGTAGGCAGGCCGGCCGACGCCGAGCCGAAGATAAAACCGTGGGCAGCCGATCGTGGCCCTCGTCCGGCCCCGACAGTTTTCTCTGCTGTTCGTGTTAATTACTTCCCTGCCGGAGCGTGCGAGGTGCCGTTAACCTCCTCTCTTAACAAGCCTTGTTTTCTCTGGCGTCACCAGTGTTAATTAGCGCTCTTAGTGGCGAGACCATGTGCCGTATGGGGGATTTCCTCCCCCCCACAAAAAAGGACAGAAAAAAAACTGCAGATTTAGAGGCATGAAAATTAGTAAAGAGGAGAGGATGTAAATGAAGCGAGGAGTTCAAAAAAGAAAAAAAAAGATTACAATCTGCTTTTTAAATGTCTTAAGCAGGAAAGTTGATCCACAGTTTTGATAATTCAATAAATAAAAACTGCACACAAGGTGCGGCTGACAGCTAGCTGGCTTCAAATTAACGACAGGGTTTATTCTGATATATAAACACCTGTATCTCTGTCTACCAGCAGCGACCTGGAAGTACGTCACTCTTCAGTTGTCTACAATACCGAATCCAGCGGTCTGATTTCTGTTTGCCTCAATATATAATATGTTGTCTTGCTGGAGTCGTGTTTCACGATCTCTACAACGAAGGTTAACTACCAAAAATGTCAAGTTCGTCCAGTCAGAGGAGGTCAGACTCACGGTCAGTTCGCAGGAAGTTGTTGAGGAGCTGGAACAGTGGGAAGCTGTCCCAGGAGTCGACCGCCTGGACCTGCAGAGCGGCGTCCATGTCGGCTTTGTACAGAGACAGGAATGTTTCGGCGTGTTCGGCCATCAGCTCCGGCCACCACGAGAAAGCCTGAAGAGAGAGAGAGAGAGAGAGAAGCAACATGAACAGGAAGTTGTTTTGTTTCATTGACAACTTTTCAAAATACAGTTTGAAGCCGTAGGAATACGACTGTTGGACAAAGAACATTTGTTGTTTAATTTGAAGATCTCATTGGATCCCTCGCAGGTTTCTGAAGGTGCAGTTTGAATCCTGAAGTCTGTGGTGTATAAATATGAAGGCACTCAATTATTCACCGCTTTTGGAAAGACAACAAGAGCATCCATAATTGTTGTCAGTTCACACTGTAAACTCAGCTTCAACTGTGCCATACATTTCTATTCTTAATCATGAATGTATCTGCAATTAGTGCTTTTCTAATCAGCTTTTCATGTAGGTGCTTGGACCGTTCGTTCGTGGCCCAGCCTATCCCAAGATTCATTGCAGGCTGGTGACGAAAGCAAAAGACGCCAACGGAGCGCTTGAGGACGACACTGTTAAAGCTGAGTATTGGGTTTCTTCTCAGAGCAACAGTGAACGGTACAACTATTAAAACCAAAGGCCTTACAACCTCAAGTTTTTGTGATAAAAAAAAAAAAAGTTGTGTGTTATTGAGGTTGCTAGGCGACAGGAGCGGTAAGGGCGGGCACAGCTGGTGACGCAAACCAGGAAATCCTCCGTTGGCCAGACTGTCTCATTTAGATCCGGCCTTCGCGGTCTATGACTGCCACAAAGGGCCACACCTTTGTCGACCGCTTCCTCCGAAGGATGCGGACGATGCACATTGATCCGATTAATGATCAGTTTTCATTTTGACAACAAAGGGTCTTTTTCTGTTGATCAGCGTTGGGGAAAAAAAAGCCACATTAAATATTCTTTGATTCAGTTTTGTGACGCATTTGAATGTGAAAATCTTTTTACAGGCTCCATGTTACTCGCTTGCTGTGTTTCTGCTGTTGATCAAAAACATCCTGATCCGACTCTGAAAGGTTGACCTGTTGAAGCTGCAGAAATCTAAATAAACCGAGGCGACATGCAAAGTATCTTTAGCTGCCGCGACTTTTAGCTGCTGTTAAAGTGAAAAAGAAGGAAAAAGGCCCAGAGGTGCTGTTGTGAAAGCGCCTGCTGATTCACTAACGCAGATGCCTTCGGTCTAAAGAGCATCCAGGCTGTGCGGCTCTCCAGTGGGCAGAGGTCAGCCTGCTCAGGTGACCGCTGCTATTGATGGCTGACCTCTGAGAGAAAAGTGCAACCAGTGCACTCAGGTCGGCGTTTGTATGTGACGGAGGAAGACGAGGCAGACGTGTAAGACGGGGAGAAGAAAAATGACACGGCAGCGGCTCATACTCGTGGCCTTGCAGGATGACTCGTCAGGCATTTCAAACGCGCCTTTTCGGTTTCCTGTTACTGACAATAAACGGCGGTAAACCAGCCTGATGGTTCTTCGTCACTTACGACTCATTCTTCTCAAGACATCCATTTCAGTAACAGCTGCTCGTGAATAAAGACGGCCATCAATCCATCAGGGAAGACAAAGAGGAAGAAGAGACAAAAACAGCAGCAGTAGATTCAAGGACAAGAGAGAGAACGAGAAACAGGAGATGTGAAGACAAGAATGGAGGGAGGAGCGACTGAAAGGACGAGTTTAAGTAGTAAAGGTGAGAGAAAGAAAGATGTTAGAGAATCAAAGATGGAAGGGAAGGAATAAAAAAGAAAGGTTGGCGGATGGTAGGAAGTATGGAAAAAGAGAAGCAGAAACACAAAAGGATTAAGAGAAAAAGTGAACAAAAGGAGGACTGTAAGTAAGGTGGGACGACGTAAAGAAAGAAGGACAGAAGAAGAACAAGAGGGGAAGAATGATGGGAAGAAGACATGCAAGATAGGAAGAAGAGAAGAGGGGAGGAAGAAATGTTATCAATATCAATCTGAGGAAAAAAGAAAACAACAGTGAACAAGGATTGAAGGAAAGAAGAAGAAGAGAATACAGGGGGAAAGGAAAACAGATAAAGCTAAGAAAGGGTGAAGGGAGGGGAAAAGAAAGGACAGAAGAAGCGAGGACTAAAGAGAAGACAAAAGAAAGAATGAAAAGAGAAAAAGAAATATGGAAAAAAGAAAAGTAGTGAACAAAAATGAGTAAACAAAGGAAAAATAGAAAGGACAGTAAGAAAGAAGATGGAAAAATAAAGAAAGGAAAACTGGAAGAAATAAAGGCATGGAAGAAAACAACGAAGGAAAGAGGGGAAAATGGAAGAGAGAAAAATAGTAGTACACAAAGGGGTAAAGATAAAGAGATAAAGCAGGGGAAGAAACAATAAATGACAGCAGGTGAAAACAGAGGGTAAGGGGTAGAAAGCAAAACAAAAAGAAAATAAGGACAGAAAGCAAAAGTATGGAGAAAACAAGGGAATAAAGACAGAAAGGGGAAAGACAGAAGAAGGTAGAAAAACAGTGATGGGAAGAATAATGGAAGAAGGGATTAATAAAAAAAAAAGGTCCAGTCTGTTGAAAACCAAAATGTTCTTTTAAGAGAGGAAGAGTGTCAGCCCTTTAAAGGGCTAATGTACTTATTGTCCCACCAAGGACATCCGTCCCTCCACAGCCTGCGCTCCACTAACAGCAAAATGCGAGAAAGTGTCATGACTGAATATTTTCCTTATTGTGGAGCGAGAGAGAGTCACGAAGGTGAAGGGGAGTGTTGGGGCAGAGACGGCAAACGGAGAACGAATGCAACCGGTAGACAACGAGGAGTTAATTCAGCCACAAGAGCATTAGTGAGGCGATAAGGTCTCGCTGTCAGTGATCCACATGATCTCGATGGGGGCTGAGGTCGCGACTCAACGCAGACCGGTCAAGATCTGCTTTTTTATGGACCCGGCTTTGTGCACGGAGGCGTTGTCGCGTTGGAACAGTAACAACAACATATTTGGCAAAATCGTTGACATTAAACGGCCACACCCCAAGCCCAACACCCGTATCAGTCGCCTACTGATGCATGTGCAAAGCTTGGTGGGTTTTGGAGCACGCCCTGCAACCTCCAAAAAGCTGAACGTAATTAGGGGGCGCTATAGAGCCGACACGCCAACAAACTACTCATTAGTACAAATACGTGTGCAGAGTTTCATGCGAATCCTAAAGGCATCAAAAACGTGTTTGTAAAATGAAAATTGACACACGGAATCTAAAATGCCTAAAATGATCAGTTTTAATAGTTTTATCAAACTGTTTGACGGTTCTGTTCGGACTCTTGGTCGAGGTTCAGCAAAGATCCACAACAAGTGTTGTGTTGTTTATTTACGTTCGACCTGAACCATCATCTTTACCAAACATTAACCAAAGTGGTTTTGTTGCCTAAACAAGGATGAAACTGCATTTATCATCATAATGTAACTTAAAATGATATAAACATTTCAAGGAGACATGGTTACATAAACATTCCCTTCACTGGAGCTGAAGGACCTCGACCCACATGCCGTACTCTTTCATTACCACGGCCTTTCTTTCACGGTTACCTCATTAATCCTATTTGACTGGTATTGACTGGTTATCTTGTTTTTTTTCTCTTTGTTGTGTTTGTTATTTATCTCTGCAGCGACCTCATGCTCTCTCAGCCAGCGGGAAAATAATTATATATCAAACTGCACTTAATGAGAGCAGAGAGGTTATTTACAGTCTATACTCTCCATAGTTTAAGTGGAGACGCCTCCTTTTTACCACTAGTTCTTTTCTTCTTCTATAAATGTCTTCAAACATGCTTAGCTTGGTATCATGCAAAGCTAACAGTCACACTACCTTCAGCAGAACATGATGTTCATTCATACCTGCAAACCTGTTCTACAATGTAATATAAACCTGGATATTTAAGGGTTTTAATTATCACACTGACAGTTTAAAATAAACAAGGTAACAGTTTTTCATTTCTTCATCTCTTTATCACGTCCACATCTGCGTAGCTCGATAAAAGTCCAGCGATTGAACCTTGAGTTCAGGTAATCTTTGTCAAACTAGTTTTTCTTCATGGAAAATGAACGTTCAAAGCTCAGATTTGACAGCGGTTTGATTATTCAGTCCATGAAACGTTACTTCTGATTTCCTTTGCATGATTATACTCAGTGGCAATCCTAGACTCTGTGGCAATCTTAAACTCCTCACATACAGACTGTTGGTAGAAGCTAGCTACAGCACATGTCGTCAGTTGCCCCACTCGGAGGGGTTTTGGGGCAACAGCAGTGATACATCAACAACAACAACACAAACTTGAGCGGAGGATGACTGAAACATTCACACAGCAAACTTACCTCTCTTCCCTTCCCACGGTGGAATAGAAACAAACAAAAAAAAAAGACAGAAAGAAAGAAAGGACAGTCAGATAAATAAGAAGATGTTTAATGTGAGTTTGTCTCCAGACAGATGACTCTTCTTCAACATTTACAGACGGTTCTTTCAGGCCTCAGTGGCCAATTTCTCAAATGTCTAGTGTCTAAAATTCTTCTTGGTTACTTTTTCTTTTATCATGAAACACTCAATGAAGTTTAAAGCGTCCCCTTGACTCAGAAGTAATATTGTAATATTGTTCCTTCAGTCTGTCACTGGACGGCTGTTTTCACATTCATCTGTTTGAGTATCAGCAGCATCACAACTAGTCTGGACTCAGTCCTGGTCCAATATGCAACTTCCACAACAAGTGTGATGTGGGAATGAGAAACCTCTGGTGCGCACACACTCAGAAGCAGGAGACACATCCTTTGTTCAGCAGTTTAACTTTTGAAATGACAAGAATAATAATATTTGCAGAGTTTTAATTTTCCAGCGAGGGAGGAGGAGGAGGAGGAGGAGGAGGCGGAGGAGGAGAAGTCATTTTCAAACCAGGTAATTAAACTGTATCAGACACAAGCAGTATTTTTATCTGGCATGAAACACAGATCTTTAAATGAAAAGACTGTAAAGCAAAAAAAAGAAGAAAAAAAAAGCAGCGTTCACATGAACTGCCTGAAACACCAGCTCGTCACTTTGACATTTCCATAATGAAACACTGACAAAAAATAAACAACAACAAAAAGCAGAGACGGAGAAGGAGAAAGAGAAGGAGCGTGTGATTGATGCCGACGGTAACCGGGTAAACAATTATGATTCATCTCTAAATTTAAGCTGTGACAGCTTGTGGCGCTATTCTGACAAAAAAAAAAAAAAAGAAGAAGAAAAAAAAAGCTTATTAATCTGTAGTTAACATCACTCACATCAGCTCCAAGCAGAGATCCACCGGTCGCCATGGCAGCGGCAGAGTGCGGCATGTTATTAATAGCTCAGAAACAGATGCCTGAGCGCCACGCTGCCACTTAGGGCCGATCAAACCGCCACGTCTCAACACCTATGATTGATCAGTTTTACACTGCGGCGTATAAACGCTGCGTGCATATGGGCCGTGGGCGTTGTTTTCATCGTGCCTCCGCCGCAGACTTTAATGCAGCGCCGCCACTTGCCATGTCATCTGCCACTTTAGCGCGAGCGCTGCCAGCTGAGGCAAGAGGAGGGAAATGGACAGTGCTGCGAAAAGTGATCAAGAATGTTAATGAAGTGATCAGGTGACATGCGGCATCTCTCGAAAAAAAGAAAAAAAGAAAAAAGAAAAAAGCAGAGCAGAGTTTGAATTGAAGATGAGACTCAGAGGAAGAAGAGTTTCACAGTAAAAGTCTTTGTAATTAATCCAAGGACTTGATTTCTTTAGCAAGTCAGCTACTCATAGAACATAAATATTGACTTCCTTAACTTTAATATAATTTGATTGATGGTTGATCCACGAGTCTCAACCTGAACACAGGTTTACGCTTTCTGATGAAATATAAAAAACATGACTGAGGATCTGAATACTGCTGAATAAAACGAAGGTTCCTGAGGGACGTTATCATGCTCATTCATATCTGCTCACTTACTGTTCTACTGTCTGTTGAAGCTTCAGCTGTGGTGCTTCCATGTATTGAATGCTCTTGTGTGCTGAACACTGTTGTTTATAAACCTGTTTGAACTGGGAGCTACAGATGGTCCTTATCAACGATATTTTACAGACTCGATTTATCAACTATTCAAAAACAAAATTATAATGAAAGTAAGTTTATTGAGTTTCTGTCAAAACATCGGTTTCTGAGCTTGGACTAAGAATAAAGATCAGTCTTCAGTTATTTATGTTCGGTCAACACGTTTCTTAGTGTGAAGCTCTGGTTTGTGTCTAAAACAATAAAAAAACAAACGCAAAGCCACATAACTATGAAGGACAAGTCCACGTTCAGTACCTCAGAGTGATGCTCCTCGTTCTGCTGCAGGACTTCGATGCAGAGCTCTCCCAGTCTCATCATGTCCTCCAGTCTTTTCTCTGGAGCTGCCTGAGCGTCCACTGAAGGTTCAAACACAGCAGGAAACATGTAGAGATTATAAATACTGCAGGTTATCTTAACACACACACTACATTTCCCATAAACCTTTGCTGGTTGTGCAGTAAGTGGTCGTCCGGGTCAAACCCTGCCGGTCGCTGCCAGATGACCCCGACACCCCTGCTCCTCAGAGGATGAACCGTTTAGATTTGAATGAACTCATGACCTTTCCTCTAGCGCCACCATGAGGATGAACTGTATTAACTGATACTAATTGTGAACGGAAACTCTGATTCGCTGATTGATGGAGTCGTGTGCAGAGAAAACTGAACCGACACCGATCCGTCAGACTCCGACCTTTGATCTGAGCGTAGTCGATCAGCTGACTGTAGTTGAGCCGAGCCGCTTTCTCCAGACACGTCTGCACCAGTTTCTTCATGTCCTCAGGAGGGACGGGCGTGGTGATGTCCTTCATCAGCACCTGGAACCACACAGACGAGGGCCACGTCTCAGCAACACACAACAGGAAACAGCATCTCAGAGCAGAGAATCACTCCCGACTTTTACTTTTAGGCCTAAGAGTAAAAGTATTTCATCAACTTTCATAACCTCAGAAATCAGTCCGGTAGGAGAAGTTCAGGAGGGAGTGAGCTCTCTGCTCTCTCCTCACACGAAGCTTCGACACCTTGATGATTTGGGTCTTTCAGAAGCAACGGTGGTAAATTAACATTTTTAACGCTGTTGCAACTCCTCAGGTAATTTGTGGATTTATTATTTATCAGTGTAAAGTTATGGAAAACAAGCTGCATTAACACACATGGTGGGTTTACTTATTTTATTTTTAATTATTATTATTTAATTATAATTTTAATTTATTTATTATTAGTTTGTTTAAAACTAAGAGCTTTATTTAAGAGATGTTACCACATACTTTCCAACCCTGGGTGAGATTACTGACATACTGAGGACAGCCTGCAGTGACTTAAATCACTTCTATTGATTTAGCGTCACAGGAGCTGTAGTTGACAGTTGAACTGAGAAGATAAATCCCATTATTTTCAATGCAGATGTGCCCACGTGTATCACTGCTGCCTGTGCTGATTTGCTGACATCCTGCAGGTTTAAATTGTGTTTACATTCATTGTTTAATCTGTGCCTGTTTATTTACAGCATAATGCAAATTAATTATTTTTACATCATACATTACCTGAATAGTTACCTATGCACCTGTACACATCAAGTCTATACATTAAAAGAGCAGCTACTTTCTGCTTTTCTTATTGTGTAATATAAAGCTCACCTGTTAGAGAACTACAGCACCATCAGCATCATTTCTAATTGTTAGCAACATCACGTTCTCCTATCCCTCGCTCAGAGTAACTGCAGTTCTACTCTCTGGATTTCTATGATTCTGCAACAAGTGAAAAACACAAGCGACAAATCTTCTGCTTTGTACATGAATAAGATTCAGAGACGCTGGGGAAACCTTTACAGGACGTCTGGACAAACATTAGAAGTGTTTCAATGCGTGCTTGTACCCGTTCCTGCAGGGAGAGTGTTGCCTTCAGGGCCCCATCTGGTCGTCCGAAGGGAAAGCAGTACCTGCAGATGCAAAACGTGGGCGGGCGTCACATTTAGAAACAATCTCAAGGACAACTGTGTGGAAACAAAAAAAGAAGAAGGAGGAGGAGGAGGAGGAGAAGAAGATGGAAGAACCAGCAGCAGCAGCAGCAGCAGCAGCAGCAGCAGAAAGACATCGGTTGGCGTCAACAGATGGCTGCCTCCTTTCATCTAATTACACTGATGGAGGAAGCTTTTCTCACCTCCCGCTCCGTCTGAGCGCAGACGAGGCGGTTCAGAGAGGTTTCATGTTGCTAATTGACAAGTGAACAGTACTTAATAAACAAAAGCACGTGGTCACGCAGGTCAGCCATTTATTGGACAAAACAAAAAAAAAAACCTACAGGCAGATGTTCTGTTCCTTCACTTATATGATTGACAAAAATGAAGTGGTCTTATCAGGCGGGACTATTCACCGAGCCGGATTCTATTCATGTGTAAGTGAAGTCACAAGTTCATGATGTTCGCTGAGTTGAAAAAAAAAAAAAAAAAAAAAATCCATTAAAGAGCTGAACATGTGACAAAGGCCTGAACCGTCTCTCACGGATGCAACGTGTTCAAGTGTTTCAAAGGAGCACAGGCGTGTGACAGGAAGTAAAACCCGTGACACATGAAGGTTTATCGTGAATGAATTAATGTGTGACATGTACGAAAACATATCAGGAGAAAAATAAATCAGATTTAACAGCAGAAAGAAACATTAACTGAATCTATTAAACGTTTTTAGTGAGTCATTAAGTAAAACTACCAGACTTTGTTTTTGTGACAGCTTCACAAACAGTCATAATAGTTTACTTTTATTTGTTGCATATTATGTTGTGAAATAACTGGGGTGTTTTTAGCTGCAGTCAAAACCACATCAGCAGTTTATTTACACTGAACAAAAATATAATACTTTTGTTTTTGCTCCTAATTTTTCACAAGTTGAAATAAAAGATCTGAGACTTTTTCTAATCGCACAAAAGACCTGATCTCACAGATCTCACAATCCTCTTCAGAAATGTGTTTAAATCTGTGTTTGTGACACTTCTCCATCCACCTGACAGGTGTGTCATAGCACAGCGTGACTACAGCACAGGTGCGCCCTGACTTGTCACAGGAAGTGGAACATGCTGTCGTACACAGGGAGCGTCTCAAACCTGCTCAGTGCGTCACGTGTCTGGTGACGACACAGGCCACGCAAACAACTGGGATGTTTTAAAGCTTCCAGGAATCGTGTCCATCACCCTGCAACATGGCGGCAGATGAGTGGCACGGCGATGGGCCTCAGGATCTCGTCACGGTATATGAAAAAAATCTTTTATTTCAACTCATGTAAAAGTCAAGACAAAAGTGTTTGGATTTATACATTTTGTTCAGTATATATGTGCAATCATGTCTCCTAATAAACAGCATTTACTGTATATCCTACTACTTTGTTTTGCCTGATACATTTAGAGAGAAACGCAGCGTGCTGATTGGATGTTCAGTAGCATCTTTTTCCAAGTTCAAAGTGCAGGATTTTGTCACCAGAGGTTCGGGTTCATGTGGTCACACTGAGGCAACAAAAGCACTTTGGTCCAGGTTAGTGAAACGCTGTGGTTTCAGTCGCATGTTGATAAAGTGAGTTAATGTTGTGTCTCATGCTTCAAGTTGACTTTATTAGTGTAAAATCAAGCGCCACGAGCGCCGGAGGAGAACCATAAAAAAAGTTCATGAATAAGTTGCTACAAGGAGAAAAAGAAAGAGAGAAAGAACTGAACTGTCAGTATTGTCGATACATTCATTTTTGTAGCACGTAAAAACGTAATTAGGGGAGATACGTTCGAACAGGTCAACGCAAATTAGTCGACCGCTCTTCATCCTCCTCTTCACCGGAGGTGGAATTGCTGGTGTTTCCACCAGGAACGGAAATTAATTAAATACCGATGTTTAAACGTCATTTAACAGATTCTCCAGAGAGAGAGAGAGAGGGAGAGAGAGAGAGAGAGAGAGAGAGAGAGCATTTGAAAACATGTAATTTAACTTTGGCAATAATCTATCATCCACGTTCACACCAGCAAAGCTTCTCTGGACTGAAATTTTTTTTTTAATCTCTTTTTCTTTTTCATCACAAGTTGGAAAATAACTACATGACGTGATGAACGACTGTGACTCGAACCTTCTTCAGCAGCTGGACATTAACTAGACAAGGTGGTGGTCGGGGTTAAAAGAAGTGCATGTAGACCAGTGGACCATGGATCCCCATCTGGTAAGATTTTTGCTTTTAGATGTTTTATCACAGAGTGTTTGAAACCTGTGACCAATATTCTGCCGCTGTGTTACTTATAGATGGGACTGTAGTGTAAACAAATCGTTCCCCTTTCTGCTGGGAACCGCTGGGGGGGTCCTTGAATCCCACTTTGAGGACCACTCATGTAGACTGTGTCACAGTCAGACGCTTTGTTGACTCACCCCCCCACAGCCCCACAAGAACAATGACGACCTTCTCTCCTCATGGACAAGAGTCGTCTTTGTGTTGTTTCTTCTGTACAGATCCTTTAGACAAACCTGTTCTTAAACAGTTTGAGGTTTCAAAAAGTCAACTCCATGTTTGTCCCACATGATGTGGAAGAACTTGACTGGTCTGCACAGAGGCCTGACTAAAACCCCGTCTAACACCTTTGGGATGAACCTGAACACCGACTGGGGAGCAGGTCCCTGCAGCAGGTTCACAAATCTGCTGGAAAGACCTGAAGAGTGGAGGCTGCCGCGACAGCAGCGCTCTGGATATTTGTGTCTTCGTTCCCCGTGTGGATGACACCAAGATAAACAAACATGTCCTCCTGCTAGAGGAAGGACACTGTGAGTGGGAGGCGAATAATTACTCACAAACCAAAGAGCGATTAGTTAATCTTTAGATAATCTCCTTCCTGAGGAGGGAAGAATAATGATCATTAGAGGCAATGAAGAGAAGCAGTTGTAGTTTAAATTTATAACCCTCCATGAACCTTTAGTGGCTGATCTCAGCTTTAATCCAAAGCAAACTGTGGAAATCCTGCTCTTGTCCGAGGGACATTAGCATAATCCCAGCATTGTCCCGGCCATTGTTTACCAGCATTAGCCTCTTGTTGAGGTGAGTTAGTAATGACTCCCGCTGATCCACCCCCCACCCCCCCTCGGCCCTGACCGGCCCCTCCTTCCCTCTGTGGGGCCAGATGGAGGGCCCCTCTCAGACGAGAAGGGTTTCAAGAGGCGAGCTTTGGGACAGTTAATGGCACAGGTCCATTCAGATGAGTGTTGCTCAAGGTCTCGGGGCTGTTGCTTTCACACCGCAATCACAATGCGTTCACACGGCAGCGGCGGCGCTGAATAGCAGCACGCAGATGCAGGGAGGTCTTCGACGCATGTCCTGCACCTATTATGTGCCGCTGAAGGGAGCCGCAAATACCCAGACTGCCTCGGTTCATTATAGCAGAGTTAAAGGAGCATGCCGCTGGTTTTAACGTGTCTCACATCAGGGCGATTTACGTCGCAGCTCAGCATTCAGCGAAACATATTGATGTGTTTTAGGATGAAACAAAAACAAAACATTAAAAAACGAATTCTCTCTCCTCCTCTAGTGATGCCGACGTTAAGGAAAGAGAGTGGGAGTCAAATATTTCACTCCTCTCCTGAGGCTCCTCCAGTTTGGGATTGTCATTTGTTCTTTTCTTAATAATAATAATAATAATAATAATCATAATAAAGAATAATTTGAAGAGTTTCAATCACCTCTGGCTCGTGTACAGTTGTGTTTTTCTCTTCATAAATGAGCATTATGCCCAACAAATAAGCCTGACTTTCACACTTCTATTTTAATCAGTGATCAATGATGCTCCTAGAAACAAAATGTTAAGACATGTAGATACATGTAGATAGTTTACAGCTTCTATTGGACTGTTCTGAATCCAGGACATGATGTTTACAATCATCAGTACCTGGTGTCAGTGTTGGGGTGAAGACATATCTCAAAACCTGAACAAATAAAAACCAAACTATCTGCCTGGACCGATGCAAATGATATCAAACTGTGTTTTCTGTTATCAGGTGAGTTTTTAGGCGTTTGCTAATTGATTTTTCCTACAGTACAGATATGCACGAAAACCAATCGCTTGCGCACAATTTGTGTTGTTTTATGATCGTGTTGTTTCGTTGCTCGTACCTAAAATGTGTGATCTGGTTCTCCAGCAGAGCCATGAGGCGACTCCTGATGGCCTCAAACTGCTCTTTCTCCTCCACGGTCACTGTGCCCATCCCGTCAGGCCTGAAGACACAGGAAACAAAAACCAGAGTCAGCTGACCGTCATCTTTACCAACTCACCTGAAATCACATGCTGAAGGTAGAGAACAGTTTGGTTTTTCAGGATGTGTAAATAAAGACGGAAACACGATGTTTGTGAAGATGCCATTAACTCTCTTTTGAACACAAAAAAAGACAGTTTTCGTGCTTTGACTTTGCTGTTTTTTTGTTCATTGTTTATCTACTGACAATGAAACTGACACTTCCTGACCTGCTGGAAGGCTTTTAATGTGAAACATTTGCAGGAAGTGTTAAGATCACTGACAGTAGCTTGAATGCAATTAAATCTTGAAGAAAATATTCTTTTAAGTAATTTGTATGTGCATATGATAAAATATACTTTCTATACAAAATATGAGCCGGTTTCAAACGAAGGCCTGGTTCCACCTTCAGTTCAGCTAAATAGAGGCTTTTTCGATTGTTTAAGAATCTGACATATCGAACATGAACTTTGAAGACCGAATCTTTGTTTTCGTCAATGCAAAACGGCTCTCGATCAATATTTTATCATTGCAGACACCAAGACATTTCTTTTTTCATATAAAAGTGTCAAAAGAAAAAAGAAAAAACTAAAATTTGAAGCCTTAGAAAAACAGCTCATGCTGCTTTTCTTTTTAATTTCTTTCTCACTGCCGAGTTTTACTGGCTTGTTTTCACCAAACTAACTGATCAAGCAGCCAAACTCTCCACGCTGACCTCAGAGTCAACCAATCAAACGGAGAGCTGCTCAGGCTCCTCTTCCTCCTCCACAACTCATCCGGCCGGCAGGAGGAGAGTCGACAAAGAGAAAACTGTTAGTTGAGGGCTTCATTAATGTTTGTAAAGCTTTCATTCCCTTCTTGCCTTCATCTGAATAGGCACTCTGGCAAAAAAGGGGAAAAAATGCAATCAGGACCCAGAGCGACCAGCCTTGACTTTCTGGGCTTTCTCTGTGCAGCTGAAAGAGAAAAGCACCCTCTCCAAACGGCACTCGCAGTTGCCGGAGGGAAGAAGCGAGGAGGTTGTCTGTTAATGAGTTGTTCTTATAAAAGCCTTCGCTGGTTCAGCCCCTGACCGATGCGCCTTGAGTACCAACAACTCTGCTGAGCTCCTCGCAGCGTATTTCTGACTCTCCCAAAGTTGAAAATAAAAACGTGACGAGAAAGGACAAGCAGCAGGTGAGGCAAGGATACTGAACTATCACTGCTGAGCTTCCTGTCAATTATAACTATACAATAACATAACCACATTTAACCAGAAGAGTGGATCACTGACAATTAAAAGAAAAGAAGAAGAAGGATTTACACATACAGGAGCAGCAGCAGCACAGATAACATACAACAGTGTGGAATAACAAGTTATATATATACATATATATATATAAAAACATAAAATGCAGGAATGTAGTTGCTCAAACAAAATAATAATAAATGTGTAAGTGGTGTTAACATGCCATGTAATAATAATAATAAATATTATCATCATGATAATGATAATTAAATAATTAAAAACATAAATGAACATAATAAAATCAGATAACATGACACAATGAGATTAAAGTACCATAAAATTTAACATAAAATACAGTTTTACAGTTTTATGAAGGAAAAAATAAAATAAAATCTAGAAAAATTGTTAAAAATGTACATTATCAAATTACATGATAAAACATAAAATAACAAAATTACATAAAATAAAACGAAACACAAAATAAACTAAAACACACAGATGGAATTAAAGGATAAACCAACATTAAGTGTCTTAGTAAGGTGTTGGGCCACCTTGTGTTTTGAGAACAGCTTCAATGCTCCTTGATATTGATTCTCTATTGGAAGATGAACATCATTTCTCCCAGAAGATGTTCCCTCATGTCGTGGTTTGATGATGGCGGTGAAGAGCGCTGACTAACATTGGTCCAAACTCTCCCATAGGTGTTCACCTGGCTTGGTATCAGGTGACTTTGAAGACCACAGTATAAGATTTGTATCAAAACATTCAATGCCATAAGGGTGGGACATTGTTTCTCCACTTTCAGGTTTGTCCTTTAATTTGTCACCTGTCTGTGGTGACATAAAAAATTCATATAATAAGTAAATATGAAAGAGACAAATAATTAAATTAAATTATATGAATTAAAATATAGTAAGTAAAAATGAATTATACATAAAAAAAATTATTTGAAAAGTTATAATAAAAAAAAAGAAAAGAATTAAATAAAAGAAAAAATATACAAAATATAATGTATGGAAGAATATAAAAAAAATACATTAAACTTAATTATTAAGTATAAAAAAAATTACATAAAAGAAAAAATATAAAGCGAAATTAAATTATAATATAAAGTATGGAAGAATATTTCAAAAAGACATGAAATTCAATTACATAAAATATTATAAAAACAAACAAAAATAAGCACAATAAAAACATTAACATAGAATAAATGACTATAAAATTAAATTAACTAAAATAATGTGCCCAGCTTGCGCTACAGGTTTACCCGCTCAGTTTTCAAACTCTGTGATATTTCTTCAGGCAGGTTGGTGTTTAGAGGGTGGAGGTTGTAGATGAGGTGCGAGATGACGACAGGAAGTCGTCATGTATTGTGTGAGAACATCAGCACCTCTCTTCAGCTCCACTCTACTTGATTCATTCTGTAATGAGAGGCAGCTTTCTCTGCACAACAGCACTTGTTAGCACAACTTCTAAACCCTGTTGTTCCCCAAATCTGTCAATTCATTACCATCACCACCAACTGCCCCCCCTCACCACACCCCCTCCACTTCCCACAACCCCTATTTAACAAGCACCAGTTAATCCCGAGGGAACATAAAGCAGAGTCGTTGGGAGGGGCGTGTGCGCTCACTCATGTAAAGGCAAGAAAAAGCTCGCTTTCATGTTGAAGCAGCCGAGGGCCTCGCTGCACTCTGGGCCCCCGCACGGACAAATGAAGATGTGAGAACGATGGTCAAAGTGAAGTCTTGGATGGATGGATGTAGGGATGGATGGTGGGTTGGCCTGAGGCTCCAACCCCTTCACAGTTAATGGCAGCTGTTCTGTAATCCTAGTTGTTCATCTTCCACAAAACAATCAGGTTTTGTTTCCGTGTGCCGCCCACAGCGAGGTGGCGGAAAATAAAATGAAGTAAACACTGTAGCTTCAGTGTGAAAACGATGAAGCAAACTCACAATTATTACTTCTTTTTTCCAAAAACATATCATGCAGTAACTTTCAAAATTCTTAGAGATGAAGATATCTGTCAACTGTCAACTCTTAGATTCAATTTATTAGAGAACTACAATGTGCAACAACATTCGTCGGTCATTTCATTAAAAATTTTTACATAATGCCTGATGGATGCTGCTGTGCTGAAACACAAATCCAATTAACTGATTGGGCTGCAGCTTATGATTATTTGTATTATCGATTAGTCTTCTGGTTATTCTATTCAAATTTTAGAGTGCAATGTGGTGTCTTCAAAATGCCTTGCTTTGTCTGACCCGCAGCCCACAATCAATCCAAAGATATTCAGTTCACTGACATATATGAAAAAGAGCAAATACTCATGTGTGAGAAGCTGAAAACGAGAAATTTTCTGCATTTTAGCTTGAAAAGTGACTTGAACGATCCATCAGTTACCATTTTTCAGACTACAAGCTGTTCAACTGACCCTGAGTGCAGGAATGTTCTTGAGGCGTTTTTCATCCTGTCTATATAAAGGTGTACAAAGATTATTCATTATTTAGACTGAATCTTTACCCTGTATGTTCATTTATGTATTTATTAAAAGATTTTTATGCATAAACAGGTATAAAAAATATACCCAACACCATTTAGACCTTAATCCAATAACCTGAGACATTAGGTCCTTATCTTTATATTTAAATGCTTTTAATGACAACAAATACAGAGTCTCCGACCAGGATCATCATGCATTTGCCTTCTGGGTGATTGTTGGGTTGTTCAAATGCTGCTGGGAAACTCTGGAGGAAAAGGCAGGGACCTGTCATTTCAACCTGTGCAGCACATGCCTAATTTTCTTCTTTTTAATTGAAGTAAAATGTTGGTTAATTTAAAAAGACTCGTCCATGGATGTGAATAAGCTGTGAAATAACCACAAGAAGTCATTTTTCCAATCAATAAGTTTGCACATGAATGCATCATTCCGCAGACGTTTCGTCAGCACCCTGTGCTTTCTGCTGCATTTCTATGAAAACTTTAGTAAGAAGAATTGAATTCAAAAGTGCTTCCTCAAAGGAATTCAGAGTGTCGGAAGCTGAAATACTTTTGTCGGATCATCAAGAGCTTTCTAACGATATATGGATCTCAATTTCCCTCCCAGAATGTCAGTCACACCCTTCAATTCCTCTGAATCGAATTAGGGCAGAAAACTAATCGGATGAGGAACACGTTGGCAGGAAGCCCGATGCAAAACGCACCGAGCTCCGAGAGACACAACACGGTGTGGTGTTTGGTTTGGTAGCTCTCCTCACTGTGCCATTAAATCCAGTCAGATGTGTGTTCATGCTTGGGCTCACACGGCAGAGCGGGGAGCGATGCGACAGCTTGTCGGGGTACAGACACATTGTTGCTGCTAAATGAAGCGAGCACGTTGGAGGCGAGGCTGCTGTCAGCGCCGCTCCTGGGTCTGGAGAGGAGAGGGGGGAGGGGCTGAGCAGGAGGAGGAGGAGGAGGAGGAGGAGAGGGAGGGGCCTGTAGACTCAGGTTAGTGTGTTTACACTCAATGTGGCTCAAGTGTAAACGATAAGTACCGCATCCGCCTGCGGGAACCACCAAACCCTCTGGCTGTTTGGTTCTGATGTCAGTTGACGAGAGTCGTCATGAGTGGTGCTCGCCGTGCGGCGTGGCAGGTTACTGGGTGTGGACGCCACTTCACCTTAAGAGGTGTGGAAAGGAGATGAGGCTGAGTGGCAGGTGATCATGTGTGTCACCTTCCTCCTCCCCCATCACCGCTCTGGAGATAGATAGAAGGGTGGGGGGCGGGGGGCTGTTGTGTGAATGGTTGGGGGAGGTAAAAGCTCCTGTCACATCCCGTGTCGGTGCGGTGTGGACGCTTCAGAGAGGAGGAGATCTGACGTGACAGGTGAGAGGGAGGCGAGCGCCCACACCTCCCGGCTCTGGTAATGCTCCTTTAACCCCGATCTCAGTTCAAACGCACCCGTCTCATCAAACCCCTCGCAGACCAGCACAAGACGAGTCGACGTGTCACGGCTACTTCACCTGCGCAGGTTTATTTGCTCCATTGAATCCACTGAAAATAACAAAGCAGGCCGCAACTGTTCTGTTCTAAACTTGTCATTTAAATGTCTCACGTCCAGATGCGGTTAAATACACTTTTGTTTACGCTACAGTGTCACTTCAGCTGCTTTTATCAAACCGGACAGACTCTGTATTCGCACTTATGGATGGACAGACACATGGGAGGAATAAAAATCATGCGTAGTCAGAGATAAATGCATTTTTCACCGTCTGGATAAATCATGTTTATCTTTAAATGCGTTTCAGTCCATCCAAGTTGCGCAAAGTGGCCACCAGATCCAGATGTGGCACATTCCAGCTGCTGGAGAAGATCCACTGCCGTTCTACCGGTCTCGCAAAAAAAATGTGTCGTCTTCTCAAAATCTCAAAAATGATATAAACACATAAGTATGGTGAATTTAAAAATTCTAGTTATGTATAAAATCTTTTCAATACAAAGAAAACGTAATAACATTTTGTTTAATCTGTGAAGAAGTTGTGGAAAAAGTGTGTTTTAAGAAAACAAAAGCTGCAATAAATTAGAGATGAGAAGTGAATTGAATTGAACTTATCTCAAACCACAAAGGGTTAACAGCCTCTCCATCAAACCGTGATGAGCCAACATCAGCAGTGGGAGGCTTTTCACCTGTCACTGAAACATTTACAGCTTCAGTAAAGGTCCCACATGTTCCCCGCTGCCAGAACTGAGAGTTGCATTAAGAAAAGCACAGTCTGATACACTCCAAATATATCGCCTTGAAGTATTAGTCAAGTACTCTCCTGTTGATCAGTCGGTGGTGTCTCTCTTTGTCCTCTCTGCCTCCCGTTGTAGTTTCGTCTCGTCGAGCAGCCCTCCAGGGAAAACTCGAGTTCTGTAATTAAGTTTGTTTTTTTTTCCACCTCCGAGTCTGCCAGCCATCCAGAACCTCTCTTTCCCATCCACACCCACTCAGGCAGCTCCAGGAGCCCTGAATGGGCATCAATTATTCAAATTAAAGCTCCAACTGACAAAAAGCCAATTCCAGTTACCCCCCCCCCACCCTCTCTCTCACCCAACCCCTCAATTTATATCTGGCGATTAGCTGGAGAAGCTAATCATTATGCTTTCTAATTGACTAAATGAGTCGACAAAGGGAGAAAGCACAGATATCAGTAATTACCAGCCGGGGAGTCAAGCAGGGGGCTGCTGGGAGTGAAGTGGAGAACTGAACTGCTGGAGCGACGCTGATGCCAACAAGTGGCTAAAAGACACTTCTGTTGCTCATATCTGGGGAGTTCACTGCCGACAAACTGGAGGCCTGGAGGCGACCGAAGAGGAGCCGTCCTTAGGAACGCTGTCCTCCCCAAGAAAAACGAGAGCATCGGTCGGTTCAGCGAAGGGTTCCTGTGTTGAAGTCCTGAAGTCTTTTCATGGGCAGGAGGTTGGGGTGGATGATGGGTAAAAAATCATCACTTTTTTATCACTGGAAATCGCTGTTCCTCTTCCGTCGACAGTCAATGTTGGTCTCTTTATTTATTACCATGATCTTTCCTTAACCTTAATCAAGATGCTATTAATATAACCCTGATGGCAAAGGTCCCATGACCTAACAACTGTCACAGAAGTCACACAGAATATAAATATGTGCATCGTGACTGCGTGGTTCAGATTTGATGGAGTTATGACGTACCACGGCCACTGCTGCAGCTCCAACGGCTGACCGTGTTCGTAAGTAGGACGAATAAACAAATACTTTATCTTCCCATTGTTTTTTGGAACATGTGCATACAAGTGTCCCTTTTGCCTCATACAGTATTCTCCTCACACAGTTCACCTTCAATTCTCCTGTGCCCTCCTGAAGAGGTGTACCTCACAGTTTGATGTGTTTGGACCCAAACCATGAGCTTTGAAACCAAGTTGTTTCTGTGTCTAAACCTAACAATACTTAAATCATGTAATGTTGTCAGAGACAGACAAGCAAGTTGTCAGGAAACACGCGTGTCATTCTTTTTGTATTTTTGTTTCATTGGGAGGAATTGCTGGCCCCTTGACCGAGGCCCTGTTTCCAGACAGATCAGTCTGTGGTCGTACTGGGCAGCTTCTGGGTTGACTTTATCGTATGTAAATGTGCGTCTGAATACAAATGTCAACCTTGGAGAACTTCAGCCATAAGTTCAGTAACATCTCATGTCATCTCATGAAGTCTTTGAGGGGAAAATGTGCCATGAGATGGGATTTAAAACCAGATGCAAAGGTTCTTGACCTTGTAATCCAATTTGTACCTATTGCATATATAAATACTATATAAAGAAAATTCAAGTTGGTGATTTGCAAGTTCATTTTTGACCTGGGAAATAGTAGCTTGACAAGCCCACTTACTACATTTTAACATAGCTATTAAACAGGACAAAGGCAGTAGATACACCATTAATAAAGGTATATGCATAAAAAAAATTATATAGATACATTAATGCCATGAATCTAAACTGTATCTAACTTACTGGTAGTTTGACCCACTTTGTTTTATTATTATCACAACTATTTCTTCACACTATTTCTTCATCCATATTGCATTAAGCGTTGGTGAGATTCCAAACAAAGTCTGGAGAAGTCTGTGCCCACAGTGGACTCTGTGGAAGTCTGGAGAAAGTGCACTAAGGGAAGATTTTGGACAGCGCTCTGTCGTCCAGACTTCATGATTGTGCGCCCATAAATGGAGTCTGCAAGCGTGTGGAAGTCCGGACATTTGGATTCAGACTCTGTGTGTGTGTGGCTGAAAAAGAGCATCTGTGCTCGGCGAAGACGTACAGAATAAATGAAAAGATCAAATTACAATCTGTTCACAGGACTGGACTGAATATATAATTTATAGTTACTGCAGTAAACATAAGGTAACTGCATATACTGTTCTTTTTATGTGATTATGTAAAATAAAGAAAATGTTACTGTAGATGTCTACATGGTATTTTATTCTTAAGATGTATTGTTTGGGTTTCACAGGTTTATAAAGGCAGGGTTGTGTTATCCAAAATTTCATATCCTGATACAGTCCAGCCAAAGTGTTTTATAATTTATGTTTCAGTTGTTTGTTTTTTTTTTTGATGATACATGATTATTCTATTTTATGTTTCTGCAGTTCAATTGCCACATGCCAAAGTATAATATACAGTAAGCAAAGCTGTGCAATGTGGGTTGGACTTGGCGCAAAACAACTAAGAAAGTTGCATGTGGTGGGAAATTTTGCGGAAATTGTGAAGCTTCAAATCAAAAGTAATTACAGTTACAAATAAACAAGCAGTTGAAATATTTGTGATTGCTTTATCGATTGGACTTTGTAGTTACGTCTATGCAAAGACCAAAAAGATGTTCTACACAGGGGGGGGGGGTCACACATCCAGGGTCTCTGCAGTGGTGGATGGGAACTATTTCCCTGCACTACGACTATCATTATCACGTTTCCTCCTGTGATTCTCACAGCTAGTTCGAACAAGTCAGTGACAGCCGGTACCTGTTCCCGTGGACGTGGGAGACGCAGAAGGCGTAGCTGTAGTGCAGAAGCGTGGGGTCGACCAGCGCGTTGTTCTCCGAATAATCCATCAGACCCTTCAGGTAGCTCAGGTGACGGTGGCAGCCTCGAACGCCGTACCGAGCGCAGTACTCATCCAGGACGAACACCTGACCGGGACTGAACCAACCCTGAAGACAAAGAAAAAACAAACCGCACCTGTCAAGACCTTTGACGACCACGCCAACAGGTCATTAGAGACAGTAGGATATTCTTAGAGCAGAGGTATTAAACTAATGACAAGAAGGAAATGTCATCCGGCCCGCACACGTTTAAAATTTATTTCTAAATCTCCTTGACATTCCCCTGAGTGTTTTATTTTACAGTGCTCATTTCGTTCCATAGCAGGGCTGTGACATCGGAGCATAAACATTTGCTTTTTGTTAAACAATCTGAACCTGAATAACTCTTCATCAACTTTAGCTTTGAAAAATATCACTCAGATTTTCTGTGGTGTGTTTTTTCAAATCTAATAGAAGAGTTTCACATTATTTTTCATGGAGTTAAATAGGACTGATTCCTGTCAACAGAAAGCAAACAATCTCAAGTGCCATTAGTCCATTGAACATTCAGATTCGTATGACTCAACTTCGGAGGGTAAAAAGACGAAATTTAAAGGTAATTTTCCACCAAATGCTCAAGTGCATCTGGAGGAATATCGCTTAGATTAAACTCCAAAGAGTTTCCTGTCAAAAGAGGCCGGGATCACAACTGTAATGAAAGGAGTTAAAGACGAGCAGTCCTTTTATTTTCGGTATTTCAAGGGGAATGTCTGTTAATCAGTTAAACACACTGTCATATCATCAAGTGATTGTAGGACCAGAACAGGAGGCTGGGATTTGGGACAAAAATGTAGTTGAAATACAACCAAGACGACTCCTTCACAGCTTGCTGTTGCCATGGGAGGCGTAAACAGACTTGGACCCATACTGGTCACCTTTTGGCTCCATGAACTCAATAAAAATCCTCAGTACTTTATCACAATTAAACAGAGAAGTGTAAAGGTTAACCCTTCAACTATTAATTCTCTACTGGAGCAAAAATAAAGAAAGAAAGAAAGAAGCAGAAAGGTGTGGAACGACTGGAACACCCCGAGATGTTCATTAGTTCATTCATCCTGCATGTAATCACTAAATTAGGCATGAAACTTACAACGCTAATTAAGATTCCTCACGGAAGGAACATTAACAAATTAGCACCTCCACCGAGCTGATGCCACACACACGCAAACGCACACACATGCGCTCACACACTGAAATGTCCTCCTGCCTCTGACAGTCGTGGCTCTCCGCCCAGCAACAGGCGACCCAAGAGAGAAGACGAACTGTTTCATTTCATCCTCAGAGACGTTTCCTTCTGTGTCAGATTATCTGATATTTGAAAGATGAAAAGATGAAAGACACAGTTTCTGTAGTAAAATGAGAATGTTTTTAGATAGATATCCTACTGTTTAAATTTTAAGGATATTAGATTATAAAGAGAAGGATCTTATTTATTCTTGACACAAAGACTGTTTGGAAAAGACTCCAGTGGCTGTATTAACTATGGTGGGAGCAAAGGAGGGGGTCAGGTGATGTAGTAAAGGACAGGAGGAGGTTGGGATGGGAGACTGCTGTTTGAAACTGATCGGTTCTTTTATCCATGACCACTTGTTTATTACTGTAACCCCTGACGAGAAAGGTCTTTATAACCTTGAGGAATTACTCAGGAATTACCAAACCACAATCTTTTCCTAACGGTTTTTATGCATAACCCAAACCAAACCTTGATGTCCCATAAGCTGAGCAGTGTGTTTATTGGTGTAAACATGACAACAAAGGTCCAGTACGCCGGTCCTCGTAGGGATGCTATTTATGGGTTGTACCTGAACCGACCATAAGGTTCCTTTAATTTGAAATGTGGTCATGAGGATGAGTTGTTGACTTCACTCTTGCATGAAACACATTTTAATTAACATGTTTACTCGGTTACCTTAATGCTTTGTAATTCAATCATCTTATAAATGAAGGTATATCTCATAAGAATGTGATTGTTTTTAACATGTTTTAAGGGTAAAATTATTATTGAACTGGCAGAAGCAGACAATCAATGATTCGCTTTTGTGCCGACACTGATAATATCAAAAAGAGTGACTGATGGTTGATGTAACTGCAGATCTAGAAGTACAGCAGAAAAAACTTCTTGGCTGTTTTTGAATAATCAATGTTTCCATGCAGGTTGTTTTAACCCTGACATTTGACTGTTCTGCTAATCGCTGCATTATATTCAATGAGATATTTAAAACGCTGTTAGTATTTGGGATAGTTGAGGTTGAGGAAAGATCTTGGTTAACATTTTCTTTCATTTTTTAAAGAACATTAGTTGAAGGTCTGTGACAAGATTTGACCTCTGACCTCCTGTAGACACGTCGGATGTGCTCGTGGTTGGTCGTGTAATAATTCAGACCGTCTCTTCCCATATTTTTGTATTTAGAAGGTTTCCAGTCATTTCTGTCACCAAATAAAGTGGAAACACCGATGTCATGGTTTCATGTGTCTTCAGAGTAACAGCGTGCTGAGAAACACTTTCAGCAGTGGAGTATAAAATGGAAAATGTTCAACTGCATTGAAGATCAATTAAGGACTTGAAATTAGACGGCATCACTTCCAGGATTTTATATAGACTCTAGCTGACATGCTGCCTGTCAGGGTTAACTGGACCTGGCAGATTCCTCCTCTGCAGGCCTTTTAGTGTCTCCCCCCTCCTCCTCCTCCCCCGCCTCCCCCTCTGCTCCCCTTCCTTCCAGTCTTCAGTTTGTTTGTCGTCTCTCTCCAGTTTCTTTCTTCGTTTTTTTTTTTTTTTCCGTCTGTGAGCTCGAGCTATTAATATCACACCATGGAGAGAGAGAGAGAGGGGCCTGCTGACGGGCGTGAAGCGACAAGATGTTCCTCTGTGACAAACAGATGGCGAACTCCAGTCTTGGCGCTGACCGCTCAATTAGTGGCTAACAAGCCGACTGCCTCGTTAGCTCCTCCGTCAGCCGCGGCTGCACGTCTCCGTGTCAGAGCGCTGGCGTCCACCGCCTCCCCTCCGAGGAATGACACAACCCAAAAAAATTAAAAAATTAAAAAAAAATAAAAGTGAAAGCAGCATGTGGTTCTCAGACAGCGAACACCTCAGCTCGCTGCTCGTCACCTGACCACAGACGCCTCACAGGGAGCGCAGAGTGAGGATTCTTCATTCTTTTATCTCGGAGGGAAAGAGAGAGATACCCCCTCAAAGTTACTTTATCACAATTTAAACAGAAAGTGTAAAGCGTTTAACCCTTCAACTATTAATTCTCTTACTGGAGCAAAAATAAAAGAAAGAAAGAAAGAAGCAGAAAGGGTGTGGAACGATGGAACACCCCGAGTGTTCACTTAGTTCTTCATCTGCATGTAATCATAATTGGCATGAAACTTACAACGCTATTAAGATTCTCACGAAGGAACATTAACAAATTAGCACTCCACGAGCTGATGCCACACACAGCAAACTGCAACACACAGTGCGTCACACACTGAAATGTCCTCTTGCCTTTGACAGTCGTGGCTCTGCCCCAGCAACAGGCGGACCCAAGAGAGAAGACGAAACTGTCTTCATTCATCCTCAGAGACGTTTCTTCTGTGTCAAGATTATTGAATTGAAAATGAAAAGATGAAAGACAAGTTCATGTAGTAAAATGAGAAATGTTTTTAGATAGATATCCTACTGTTAAATTTTAAGAGTATTTAGAGTTATAAAGAGTAAGGATCCTTATTTATATCTTGACAACAAAGATGTTTTGGAAAAGACTCCAGTGGCTGTATTAACTTATGGTGGGATCAAAGGAGGGTAGGCAGTGATGTAGTAAAGGACAGAGAAGGTTGAGGATGGGAGACTGCTGTTGAAACTGATCGGTTCTTTTATCCATGAAACCACTGTTATTACTGTAAACCCTGACGGAAAGGTCTTTATAACTTGAGGAATACTACAAGGAATTACAAACAAACTTCCTAGTATTTTATGCATAAACTCCAAACCAGACCTTGATGTCCATAAAGTAGCAGTGTGTGTATTGGTGTTAAACAATAAACAAAGGTCCAGTCGCCGGCGTCCTCTAGCGCATGTATTATGGTTGGTACCGAATCGACCAATGAAGGTTCCTTTGAATTTGAAATGTGTCATGAGGATGAGGTTGTTGACTTCACTCTGGTGATGAAGACCACATTTAATAACATGTTTACTGGGTTACCATGATATGCTTAAGCTTGTAATTCAATCATTCTTAATAAATGAAGGTATATCTCATAAGAATGTTGATTGTTTTTAACATGTTTTCAAGGGTAAAATTATTATTGAAACTGCAGAAGCAGACAATCAATGATTCGCTTTTGTGCGACACTGATAATATCGAAAAAGAGTGACTGATGGTTATGTTAACTGCAGATTAGAAGTACAGCAAAAAAACTTCTTGGCTGTTTGATAATCAATGTTCCATGCGGTTTTTTACCCTGACATTTGACCTGTTTGCGAATCGCTGGCAATACTATTCAATGAAAGAATTTAAAACGCTGTTAGTATTGGGATAGTTGAGGTTGGAGGAAAGATCTTGGTTAACATTCTTTCATTTTTAAGAAAATTAGTTGAAAGGTCTGTGACAAGATTTGACCTCTGACCTCCGTAGACACGTCGGATGTTTGCTCGTGGTTGGTCGTGTAATAATTCAGACCGTCTTTCCCATATTTTTGTATTTAGAAGGTTTCCCAGTCATTTCTGTCACCAAATTAAACGTGGAAACACCGATGTATGTCTTCATGGTGTCTTCAAGTAACAGCCTGCTGAGACAACTTTCAGAGTGGATTGAAAATGGAAAATGTTCAACTGCATTGTGAAGATCAATTAAGGAACGTTGAAATAGCGGTCATCACTCCAGATTTTATATAGGGACTCTATGCTGACATGCTGCCTTGTCAGGGTAACTGGACCTGGCAGATTTCCTCCTCTGCAGGCTTTTAGTGTCCCCCCCTCTCGCCTCCCGCCGCCTCCCCCTCTGCCTCCCTTTCTTCCATCTCAAGTTTGTTTGTCGTCTCTCTCCAGTTTCTTTCTTCGTTTTTTTTTTCTCTCCGTCGTG